ACAGTTTCTAAAATTTTTGCATCAAAATGCGGTGGTGCTGACATGTTATTACAAACAGACTTTTTTCCTGGTTTTTTCTAAGAATTACAAATTAAGGGACGTTATCTTTAGAACTTAACTTAGGAGAATTAATTGATAAGCTAGATAATAAATCTGTTAAATATACTAAAATCCGCGTTTCTAGCGTTACGGGTTTTTCATTGTCTATAAAGTCTAAGTTCGCTGCTTACAAATTTAACTTGATGCCGCTCAAGTTATATCGGCGCTTACTATTTACTATCCGGCCAAGGATGTAGGATGATCTGAACGAGGAATATGACGATGGATGACCAGGAAGTAACTTAACATGCAAGTAGTCCTTCTCTACCGATTAGTTTTTTTTTCGACCTTTTTGTTTCTGACGTGACGCGGGAGATACAGGAATAGAAGTGACCGCCACTTCGTTGGTCCTAGAAGTGCCGTAGTCTGTCTCTATTTTCTCTCCAGCGGTTCTTCTTCTTGCACGATGCACGAAGTTCTTTTCTTGGAATTAATGCTTGATAGCAAAAGAGAATCGATGATTTCTCTCACAAATTGATTTCTCTTTTTCCAAGCTATCATCCGATTCGAAACGTGCGCCAGTTAAAGTTTCATCAAAATTAGAAAATTGATTTTTTAAACAAAAAAAAAAAAAAAAAAAAAAAAAAAAAAAAAAAAAAAAAATTTATTTTTTAACTTATGTAAAGATTAACAATAGAAAAAATTGATATGTGAACGGGCATGAGATTCGTTGTCTGGGGCACTGCTGTCGCGGTAAACGATCAATCCGTCGTTGGAAGTCCTGTCTTCGCGTATTGTAATAATAAAGGGTTCTTGCATCAGCAATTATTGGAACGAAATAAGGCTGGATCACATAAACTACATACCGATAAAAATGTATGAAGCGGCCTAACAGGCATATCTGAAATATTAATGAGTTCCATCTCTGTCCTAATATTATATTTCTTGGGGAAAATAGTTAAGTTTTATTTTAATAATAAAAAAAAAAAAAAAAAAAAAAAAAAATTTATTTTAGAAAAATATACTACAACATATATTTTTTTAGTAGTCATAATAATTGGACATAATCGTGAGATTCACTTTAAGAATTGACTTCAGTAGATATGTGTCTCTCACCTCCCGTAAGTATTAAATTTCGACAGGACATTGTGGAAGTTGCAACCTTTCAGCCAATTCTTGAGAAATGAAATTACTTTGGGAACCAGGATCAAGCAGAGCACGAACTAACCAAGATCTTCCATTGAGCCTAAAACTAATTAACTTTTGGCTGTTCGGATAGAATCGTAGTGTGCAAGCGCATTTTGTAGCTGATTCATCAATATGGTCCAGAATTAACCAATACGGTAAAGGAATTTTTTGGAGCTGTAAGAAGTTTCGTTTATTTCACACTCATACTTCAGTCTACTATTGAGGAGTAGGCACAGAATATTCTTAGCTAGTAATGAATGCCGTAGCTGATATTTGCTCGTAGTAGTACCTGACTATAGGGAAGTATTGTGAAGTAAATTATTTTGATGAGGTTGTTCTAACCGAATTAACAAAATAATATAAAAGAATTATGGTTTTTTAGAGGATTAACATATTGTCCGGACAATGGAAATACACAGAGAGAAATTGGGAACATGAATCTTTTCTGATGATTCGTATTATTATAACACACATTTTTGCAATATTAATTCTTTTAAAAGGCCTTCATTTCGTGAACTCATGTGTATGGTATAATTTTTTTAAAGATGGAAAACTATTTGTAGGTTCGATGAGGATTTTATTATTACATGTAGACTCAATCAAGAAAGTTTATACGATGTAGAGCTCTATTGTATCTAATTATTATTATAATACTATTTTATTATATCCTTTTATACGAAATATTTGATACTAATTTTCTCTAATATCTCACATTTTGTTTTAAGGAAGTATCAATTTACATCAGATGAATCTAGTAAAAATTGTCCTGCACAGTTTGATAGGGTACAATAGTGACTGTACCACATTCCGTTTCGAGTTAATTCCCATCAAAATTTATTTGAAACACGCATATAAACAAGTTAACAGTAATCCAATTTTACGTGTCGCTGCAGACAACTTTTTAAAGACTTAAATTTTATGTTAAATTAATGGCACACTAAAAATTTGGCTTACAATTTGGCATGGACGAGTTCTTTAATTATTCGGACTAATTCACACATGCATTTGTATTTTAATTATATATAAATCAATCGTTATTATTTTCAAAACTTTTCATAAGCCAGATTCCAAGGCAAGATCAAATAATGATATCAGAACTGGGTATAAAATTTTGTCTAATAACTTGTAATTGGCGTCATTTGTAAAACAACAATTTAAATTAATATATACCTATTCACGGACATAACTAGTAACTGAGAATATTATCTGAATTGCACTAATTGTCTGTGAAATGCATCAAGCGAAAATTCTATACCACTTTCAAATGAATCATTAAAAGTTAATTAAATTTTTAATTTTGGTAACTTTAAATCTGGCTGGATTGTCTAGGAGACTGAACAAACGCAGGCGGAGAAAACCTTTCACTATTAGAATATTTTACTATACAGGAAAGCAATATATTTTTTAATTGACTTAATAATTGGGAAATATACAGTGTTAAATTTCCGACCATACTCTTGCATTATCTAGATATCTATAAATCTTTTTTATATGTTGATTCGTCTGATACCAAGCAGATGCCTTCAATTCTCATAGATATTCATCAAATTGAGCACAGGAAAAAGGTTCTGCGCCTTATCAAATCTATCTTTGGAGAACTGATTTAGCACCAAATCCGTGAGATTTTCGGAATCAACTGATGCTAAATAGCTCCTGAGACGGGTTAATTGCCCTCTAATAAAAACGGTGCGACTGTGCGTTTTACGATTTACAAAGTTCTCTCGACATTTGTTACTCGCTAACAAAGACTGAATAAGATAAACAAACACTAGAACAACCCAAAAAATTCTCAAAAGCATAGTAAAATATAGTATATCCCTATTCATCCTTAACGGGGAGACTGTAACTCACGTTGCATATAATTGAGCTAGCGCTTCAACAAGCACCCAAACCATAATTAAACAATCCATGCCGTTGCAGAAAGACTTAAAAACAGAAAGAGAGTGTAAACTTCTAAATACGGCAGGTCGGCAATAGTACGTTTTTCTTCGACAATGAAAACTTCCAAGAAAAAAAGGCTGGTATCACATCTAATCCGGCTCGAAGGACCAAATGTAATCTATCTAAGTGGAGCCTGTGATACTAAAAATGATTTTTAGTGCCTTGTCTGTAATGCGATTACTTATATATGCATTTATTTTTTTTTTTTTATTAAAAAATATTGTTTCGTATAGGTTTAGAACTAAAAACTATTTTTGTTTTAAATAAACATGTGTTCGATGACAACGGTGATTTTTAACATCTTGGATATAAATTAATAAAATCTTATCATATGCTAACAGTATCAGCGTACAGTGACTCACTGGCGTTCTTTAATAGAGGATGCTGGCTGACGTGGGAAACTTAGAAAAACAGCTAACATAGGCACTAGACGCGAATGAGAGTGCATATAGATAGAACTATCGAAAAGCGAGAATATACAGCCTAAAACAATATACTAGTTGTTAATTTTTAATCCTCCTGATGAAGAAAGTTTTATAAATGGATAAAAGAATAACCATATATTTTATAACAGACGTTGTTTTTAAATAGAATCAAATTTGTATCTAAAGACATTTGCAGTGGTTTGGGGTGATAAAATTCAGTCCGGGATAAAAGAAATTTATCCAGTATTCAGGAGAGCAAAAGTAGCGCGACTGTAATATTATAGTTGTCGCTAAGTGAATAAATGCTTTTATCTCTAATCCTGTACCTTATGAAATATAGTTTTTTCTTGTAAATAAAAGATTTTTTCAATAATTACGATTAAATTTCAAATTTCTGTGTTAAACATGTGACGCAAAAAGTTGAAAGATCACATCCGGTAAGAGTGGTCAACGTGAGTCAATTAAAGACTTATGAAGTTATTTTTTATATAATTTATCTCATATTGTTTACTATTTAACTATATAGAATTAGTTTCTTATTAATCTAAGGGATATTTATTGAATAAAAACACTTGTTTCTTAATAATTTATTAAAATATTAAAGAAATGCACGATTTCATAGTTCATCTAATTATGTGCGTGCCAGATAATTTCAATATAAAATAAGTTTTGTATGACATTTTATACTGGAGGGAATAAATACAAATAAAAACAAATCTTTTAATTAATTTAAGAAGCATATTCTACTGAAATTTTAATAAAAACCATCCATGTTTATTAAAAAAAGTTAAAATCGAGGCATCCAAGAGCAAAAAATACTCGATCGTGATTGGTCAGTTTCGGTCGCGTAGAGATTTTGAATTTTATTCTCGTTCGATGTTGTCGGATTGTTAAAAAATGCCGAAAATCTTTTTTTCTGTATGATTTTTGTGAAATTATATTAGTTTAAATTGATCACTGGCACGATAGTAAGGGCCATTTCTATATATTTTTAATAAAACAAGTACTAGTAATGTTGTTTTGTAGAAATTTCTTTTATTTCTTCTTGTAACTACGTACTAACATTATAGTCTTTATTCTTGGTTTCGATGTATTTATAGCATTAAAAATATATTTAAACAGCTTCATTTTATGTTTATTTCATGATTTTTGTGTGTTTATGTTTATAATTACTTATTTGTTTCTTATTATTTATGACAATAAATATTTTACCTTACGTAAAAAAACGATATCAGTGGAACGTATTGAGTAAATAATAACTTTTGAGAACAAAATTAAGCTTAATTTAGAAGAATTTTCCTATAAACAATTTTATTAGTAATAAATAAATTAATTTTATGAGCAGCTTAAATTTTACGAATGACTTCAATCTGGCAACGCCGGTCCTCCTTTTGTCGTTTGCAATCGAAGGATCCGTACGTCCTCTCGTCGGTTGCATGGATTTCTTAATTTTCTCACGAAAAAGTGCGTTTAGTGTACACAATTTATGCGTAATCTGTTACTAGTGCCCTGCTTAGCCTCCTGAAAAAGTGAGTACCCATAATTTTATGTATTTTTTGGGATATTTTAGTTTAAAATTTTTGGATTTCGCAATATCCATCATGGCTGCCTTCTTCTCAATGTTCCCCATTAAGTTATTAATTTTTAAGAATATTGTTTAAATAATATACGTAGATTAATAAATATGTAAAACTATGTATTTTTGGTACTTTCTATACTGCGTGTTACATAAGGGTAAACAGTACTACAGTTTTGGTAAATTACGTAATGTATCTTTCATTTTATGTTTAATTTTTTCGGTCATGGAATGTTTAAATAAAATGGTCGCCTGTTGGAATTCGATGTCTTGATTTTTTCTAAATTGTTATTTTTAATTTAAATTTTGTTTTCTTTATTTTTAAAAATATAATATGGGCATATAGGTTTTTTGTATTTACGTTTTAAATAGGTATATAGGTTCATTAGGAATTTTATTACGTATTTTTTTCATTTAAGAATCCTGAATCCTACATATATTAGGTTTCAGCATTTTCTATTTTAAAATATATTTCTCTTTTACAGCGCGTTATGTAATATTACATGTTAAAAAATAGTTATAATGTTGACAAATGATTTTTGCTAATTCAGTATTAGTTGTAAATTTGCATTGAAGAAATAAATCAATTATATAATTTATCTCTTAGAATAAATCAATTGTTACTGAATTTTTATAAAAATTAAAATATTTCAAAAACAGTCAGTATGATTTTGAGGTAAATTTTAATAGAATGTTTTTGTGTCCTCATAGTAGAAACTAAAAATGTAATAATATATATATATAGGATGTCTCAATGTTAAAAAAAATATAACTTTAATATTTTTTATTTATTTGAAACACTGTAGGTTTAACTTTTAGCTCTAAATAATATATGTTACAACTCTAAAAACTCCTTGTGTATTTTTATTTTTTTATGTGTTATATCATGGAAAAATTCTTTGGATTTTGACCATATTCATCAAATTTATACCCCTTTTTTCTATGTCATATAACATCTTTCCTCAGGAAAAATCTTATAAGATATTGTTGAGGTATAAATGGAGCATCTCTTTAAAATATACCTATCTATATTGTCGAAATATTTTTATAGGTGTTCGATATTTTTATAGGTATTCCAATATTTTGTTCTTTTTTTAGGCGCGTTATATTAATACTACAACACCACACACTGCTTCCCCACTCACACGAGCATTGCTAGCTCTCTGTGTTGGTTAATAAAATTTCCTAATTCAACATTAGCGAATTTCGTTAGCTGATGCGGTTGGTTAACAGTGTTTTTGTCGGTGTGGATCCTCGGCTTAAGATGACTCCAGAGCGCGGCGCGGCCTTCCCCAAGAGAGGAGACTTCTTGGGTCACCCCCTAACTCTGATGTTCGGGCATCGATGACCTGTGTAGCATGCAGAGGTACCCAAGGGAGTCACCACCCTCTGGTTTACGAGCTAGGTGTTCTAATGCTAGAGGCCTCGGCCGGATACGACCTGGCACCCAAGCTCCGAGATTTCTTCGTGCACGTATTCCGTGACCCTCGAAGAGGCAGGGGGCGGGATGTCGGACACATTGAAGATGATGAGGGGGGTCCGCCTGTAGGGGGTCCCGGTGGATGTCCGTCCGACGGGTGACGAGGGTGACCCCAGACGAGGCGGCTTAATTGGGATGGGAACTGACTGGTGAGGCTTAATCGTCGACCAACGGGTCGAATCTGCATAAGGAAGGCAACCAGCACACACTCGCAGGCGGGTCGTGCAAACATTTTTTTGTTTTTTCTCTTGGACTGCCCCACGTCGAATTTTGAAGGCAGAAAATGTCGGGAGGAGGCGAGCATAACCAGGCCTAACTTAAACCTGTTAAAAGTAAGTCTAATTTTTTTATATTACATTTAAATTGTAAACTTTTACTGTACTCTCTACCAAATAACTTTTTTATGCCACCATGTAGCAATCAAAATTCTTTTCATATAAGTGTTGTATATTTTAGTTTTTTTGTTACATGAGCTTCAATTTAAAGTAGAATAACTTGTATAGTAATTAGAGCAACTTTTTTAAAACTTATATAGTAGATATAAGTTTAAATTCTAATTTAATTAATTATTTAATTTAAAATAACTTTCTAATTTAACTTGTAGTTACTTATAAAACTAATTTTTTTTTTCATTACTTATTTTTTTTTCATTTTTTTAGGACAACCCGGGTTCGCAGCGCGATTTTAAAAAACAAGAATGAAGAAGTCAGAAAATCTGTCTACATGCTGCATATGATCAGTCCCAAAAAATTTCGGATTGTTCCAGGCACCGTCGAATACCTGGAAAACGTGTTTATTGTCAACTCTACAGAATCGACCGACGTTCATGGAGTTGGGGGCATTCGATGTGCCCCATAGCAGTGAGACGCCACTGTTTTTTTCGCCGTATAATTATTATGGTGGGACTGAAAATGAACTTAAGCAAGGTGCGATGGTGAGTTTTCATATTTTTACATTGTTTTTTTTTGTTGTCTGTAGCTTGTTTTTTGTTTCAGGTTTTTCTCTTACAGGTGATACGGTATGGCTTGGAGAACTTCAAAAGTCGGTTCGCGTCGTGGTTCCAAAGCAGTAACTTTAGGTTCCCTACATTTACAGAATGTCATAAGTACTCATTTTTTAATTTGCAATTTTTACATTCATTTTTACTTTTTTTCTTACTCTATACAAGGCTTTAATATAAAGTTTTTTTAGTAATAATAAATGGGTAATAAAAAAATAACTCTAAAGAGACACAATTAGGTAGCATATTGTTTTTCTATTATATTTGGAAATAACTGAGGTCTTATTTTAAAATTGATAATATTGTTTAATTTTTTTAATGGTGATTTTAATTAAACGTAAATAATGTAATTTTACATTATAATGAGAATTAAAGTATTAGTAATTTATTTTTGTTACTAAAATTAAAATCAGTTTGTTCCTGCATAAATCTTTTTAGTACTAAACTGCTTTGGAATGACTTTTTTGGGGGGACAACAGCAGGATTAGGGCCGTCTTCTAGATGCCATCAGGTAAATTTATATAACTTTATATTTATCATTTTCTTTTACTAAAAAAGTGTTTTTTTAGGTAGGTGCGCTAGCGTAGTCGTTTGTTGTAGCATGATATCCCTTTTCCCCCTTTTTTAAAAATGTTTGTAAGACGCCTGAAATTTGTATAAGTTAGTTATATAAGTAGTTGAATAAGAATTGGTGAGAGTTGGAAAATAGAAGAGGACAAAGAAGATGGAAGAGGATTGCTTTGAAATAGAAGGAAAGAGATAGAAAATTTTTGAGGAAAGGAGGAGGATTTTGTTCGCTGTAATGGTAGTTTTTTGAATGAAATTTGGTGCAACTGTATTAAGGTAATTTTTTTCATCTAGTTACAAAAAGTAAATACTTATCACAACTTTTATTTTTTTATAGATGTTATTGATATCTTGGACATCAAGTTTCATTTATTTGCGTATTATACAAGCCTATCTATTGGTGGAAATGTAAAATGGCAGCTGGTATAACACCTTGTATGAATTATTACTAACTCCAAAGAAGTTTGTACATAATTTAAACTGGGAAGAAGCTCATAAAAGACCAGTTTAGGCTGCAGTAGTACCAGGACCTTAAATTGGCTTCCACAACACAGATATCTTTCAAAAATGGTAAGTTTTAACAAATCATGTTCTTTTTTTTAAGTTTTACAAGTTTAATATTTTGAATTTATACACATATATTTTAATAGGTATTGTTATGGATTGTGGGTCCGCTAATTTAAACTCACGATAAAATACTTAACGAATTTATTTTCTCACTATATACACGCATAATTAACTATTTAAAAATCCTTCACCATTTTGTCAATATTTGCTATTCAAAAACTAACCGTATTTTAGATAGCGGCTGCTTCTCGAACGTTTGAAAATTATCTTTATTGTTTTTATTTATTTAAATTAATCTAATTTGATACTACAATTTTTCCTATTTATTTTAATTTTTAGATATCTGTTCGAGTGATGTACTGGGCGTTAACAGTTGCTGTTACAAATCTGCAAATGTCAAGAAATGTTTTGAATGAAACGATAGTGAAAAACTTGTCCACAAATGTCAATTTCAAGATACAATCAATAGTACTAAGATTGATTGGCCTCCATTACCATTATGCTATAAAAATGGTAAGTTATTTTTATTATTTTTTATGGCTACAATTTTTGTATTTAACTACAAAATTGTAGGCTTCAAATTCAAAATAAAATATGTTTGAGATTGAAAATATATTAATATATTTTTTTCAATCTTTGTAGTTATTTACAAATTTGTATCAAACAATTTTAATTTTATTTAGTATGTTTTCTTTTTGTAAAAATCTATGAATATTTGACAATATTTTAAAGAGTTACTATTGCGCTTATTTTTTAATATCTACCTAACATATTAAAAAACATATTTTTTTATTCCAAAATGTGAAGAAACTGACTATAAAAATTTACTTATTTATTCTTTGTATTTTTAGTAAGCAATACAAATTGGTATTAATGGACGTTTTGACAGTTGTTTCCAGTCCAAGTTCCAGTTTTAATGGAAAATCTTTAATGGACACAGGAAAATGCCATTTACTGGATTAACTTCAATACCTGTTGCCTTTTAATAAGGGTAAGTTATGCCTCTCAACTTATTCTTATAAAATTTAAAAATCTTATAAAAAAATTAAATTTTCCATCGTATTCAAGCTCTTTTGGCTCAATATTAACAGGCTCTATTTCTGTTTTCTTTTGTGAACTAAAACAAGAATAAAAAAGACTTAAAAGCAGGACAAAATAAAATACAGATACTGTATTACTGGTTGCATATCAGCGATCTTGAAAAAAAATGCATAGTTTTTAAATCTTTTTTTAATAATTATTTAAATTTCCACTAAGATACACGCAATAAAATGACAAACCGGGTAAATATAAGTTGATTTTTTTTATTTTGATATTTTTAGTAAGGTAGATACCTTATTTATATTTTTTTCGATCATTAAAACCGCAAATATTATATTAATTATAATTATTTTTTATTAGAGAAAATTTACTAATTTAAGTCTATCTAAGATCTGTATTGTTTATTGTTTGTTTAATAGGACTTATTTAAATTTATATAAAAAATAGCTATTATTTTTTTACATAATTTTGAATATTTCTTTATGTTTTAAAAAATTGATATAAAAAATTATTTAATATTTTTTTTCAATTTTAGGTATACAACGGTACAATTGCTGTTAGGAAGTTAACAAGTAGTACTAGTTGCAGATAATATATTATGGTGGACATCAAAAAGCTTTAAATGGAATGAAACTTGCAGGAAAAATAAAGGAAAACCATTTTAGACTGTATACGTAATAGTTGTTAGAGTGGATGCAGTCCTTCATCAATGGTAAGTTATTTATCTCTTTCTTTTTATTAAATTTCTTTGACAAGGTTGAAAATTATGATAAATTTAGTATGAACAAACTGACGTCATAATTTTTTTTTATTAGTTAATTTTTTTTATCTTTTAATTTTTTTTTGTACTTTTAGTGAGCTGAACAAAATGGTAATGGACATTTTGACAGCTGCTGTCACAACTCAACGAACAAGTTGCAGCTTTGAAGGAACATTTTTGATTGGATACAGAAAAATGTCAGTCGTTTCAGGATGTAAAGTTAATAGAACCAGGGTCGGGCTCGACATCTGTTGCCTTTTAATAATGGTAAGTTATTTTGATCATTTTATATACAGGGATTTTCATACAACTGGTTCATTAAAAGTGTTTTACTGTATATATTTTTCTAAGTCTATAACTAGTTTAATTTGGACTAAATTTCATTTTAAAACATTTTTAATGGACTAGTTACGTGAAATACCCTGTATATATTGTCATAAAATGGCATTGATAAGCTTGAAAATTCTGTCAAATAATTAAATTTTGCAGAGTATTCATACTCTGCAGTTTGTACAGTGTTAGCATTTTATTTTGTTCTAAATTTTAACAGGTTTTAACTTTTTTTTATTTTAGAAGCTAGAACATTCATTAAAAAAAAGAAATTATAAAGTTTTAGCTCAAGTTTTAATGCATATTTTTTTAAATGGAAGACCCTATACATTAAAAGTATATGGTGGCACATTTTTTAATTTCTGAAAGACACTGGTGCCCTTTCATTGTAATAGTTTTATCAGAATTTAATAAAAAATACACCAAAATTATTATGTTTGTTTCTCTTTTTTTAATTTATAGGACATTTCACTTAAAAATATACAGTTTTACCAATAACTGGGTGATACTTGAGAGTGTATGACATTTATAATAATAAAACCGCATTAAAACTTGACTGGAAAACTAATATAATTGTTTTTTTAATTAATATTAGAGCTCAAAAAATTAAAAAGTTATGGCCAGTTAAAGTGGAAAAAAATAAAATGCTAACAGTGTTTTACTGGTTGCATATCTTTAAATTTATTTCAAAATTATTAAAGTAATCACCAAAATAACACAATAAATTTACGAGTTATTACTAAATATTATTTTTTTCTTTTTCTATATATCTAGTAAATTAGATATTTATTTTTTGGTTTATTATTAACTCACTATAATAATGCTTTATTTTCTTATCAAGGAAAATTTACAATTTTTTATATAATTTCGGAAGTTAATTCAATAAGTTTTTTTTTAATTTATATAACCTTTTATTAACTTATTCAAAATTAATATAAAAAATGTCTATTATTTAGTTTCTCGTTATGTTATATAGTTGTAAATATTAACATAATTTAATGTTATGTCTTTATTTTTCTGATAGCTTCAAAATTTGCTATAATAAAAAATTACCTAATATTTTTTTTATTTAGGCATACGATAGGACAATTGCTATTAGAAACCGATATGACATACTAGGTGCAAATAATATGTATATTGGTTGATATTAAAAGAGATTTTAAATGAATGAACAACCCACTTGTTCAGAAGAAATCGAGGAAAACCATTTTGAACTGCTGGTTAACTAATAGGCTGTTAGAGCGATCGCAGTTCTTCTCAATGAGTAAGTTATTATCTATCTTATTAAAATTTCATTGGACAGCTTGAAAATTTTTTAAACACTCTCTCTAATATTCGAGCGCTTTTGCTCCTATATTAGAACAGCCAACAACTATTAAAAGAAGGTGCAGTATAAAATAAAATGCTGATACTGTATTACTGGTTGCATATAGGTACGGATTACATGGGTCCGCTAATTTAAACTCACGATACACTCACCGCACTCTCCTCTCATTTTCTCACAATTTGTACTGATTACAACACAATTTTAACTATTTAAAAATCCTTCGCCAAATTGTCAACATAAAACTGTTTGGTTTAAAATTACAAAATTCGTCACACACACCTTGACTATAAAGTTCCACTATTAATAAACCCATAAAATAATATTTTTGTTAAATATTAATTTTTTTTATTTTTTGTTTTAATATTAATCTTGTTTTCAGAAATCTACAAAAATTAGTACAGTAAAATTTACTTAATAATTTTTTTGGAATTTTTTTTTTTTTTTTTTTTTTTTATTATTTCTGTTAAAAATCCACAAGCCATGCTATCTGCAAAAATTATGGTTGATAGAAAAAAGCTTTAAATGGAATGAAACTTGTGCAGAAGAAATTAAGAAAAACCATTTTGAACTGCTGTTACTTAATAGCTGTTAGAGCGGATCCAGTTCTTCATCAATTGGTAAGTTATTATCTAATCTTATAAAATTTCATTGGACAGCTTGAAAATTTTTCTAATATTCGAGCGCTTTTGCTCCAACATTAGAACAGCCAACAACTATTAAAAATAGGGCAGGACCAAAATAAAATGTTGATACCGTATTACTGGTTGCATATTGTTACGGGTTACATGGGTCCGCTAATTTAAAGTCACGATAAAATACTTACCGGATTTATTTTCTCCACCAATTTTACTGATTACAACACACATTTAACTATTTAAAAAAATCCTTCGCCAAATTGTCAACATTTCAAAACTGTTTGGGTTTAAAATTACAAAAATCGCAACACCACACCTTGACGATATATTAAGTTCCCACTAGAATAAACGCCCTAAATATATATTTTTGTAAATATAATTTTGTTTAATCTTTTTATTTTTTGTTTTTATTAATCTTGTTTTCAGAAATCTACAAAAATTTTTTTTTAATTAAAAAAAATTTACCTAATTTTTTTTGGGAATTTTTAAGGTATACGATGGGACAATTGCTGTTAAAAATCCACAAGCCATACTATCTGCAAAAATTATTGTTGACAGAAAAAAGCTGTTTAAAATGGAATGAAACTTGTGCATTATTTTTCTTCAATTGTACAATTGCTGTTAGAAATTAACAAGTAGTACTAGTTGCAGATAACAATTATGGTGGACATCCAAAAAGGCTTTAAAATGGAATGAAAACTTGCAGGAAAAATGAAGAGGAAGAACTGGATTTTTAGACTGTATACATGAATAGCTGTTACTGTGGTCGCAGTCCTTCATCAATGGTAAGTTATTTATCTCTTTTTTTTTTTATTAAATTTCTTTGACAAGGTTGAAATCTCTCTTTAGAGTTATTTTTTTATTACCCATTTATTATTACTAAAAAAACTTTATATTAAAGCCTTGTATAGAGTAAGAAAAAAAGTAAAAATGAATGTAAAAATTGCAAATTAAAAAATGAGTACTTAATGCGACATTCTGTAAATGTAGAGAACCTAAAGTTACTGCTTTGGAACCACGACGCGAACCGACTTTTGAAGTTCTCCAAGCCATACTGTATCACCTGTAAGAGAAAAAAAAATAATATTAGAATATTTCTAACAAATACATATGCTAGAAGAAACAAAAAACAAGCTATAGACAACAAAAAAAAACAATGTAAAAATATGAAAACTCACCATCGCATCTTGCTTAAGTTCATCTTCAGTCCCACCATAATAATTATACGGCGAAAAAAACAGTGGCGTCTCACTGCTATGGGGCACATCGAATGCCCCCAACTCCATGGATTTCGGTCGATCCTGTAGAGTTGACAATAAACACGTTTTCCAGGTATTCGACGGTGCCTGGAACAATCCGAATTTTTTTGGGACTGATCATATGCAGCATGTATATAGAATTTCTGACTTCTCCATTCTTGTTTTTTAAAATCGCGCTGCGAACCCGGGTTGTCCTAAAAAGATGAAAAAAAATAAGTAATGAAAAAAAATTAGTTTTATAATTAACTACAAGTTAAATTAGAAAATTATTTTAAATTAAATTAATTAAATTATAATTTAAACTTATATCTACTATAAGTTTTAAAAAAGTTGCTCTAATTACTATACAAGATATTCTACTTTAAATTGAAGCTTATGTAACAAAAAAACTAAAATATACAACACTTATATGAAAAGAATTTTGATTGCTACATGGTGGCATAAAAAAGTTATTTGGTAGAGAGTACAGTAAAAGTTTACAATTTAAATGTAAAATAAAAAAATTAGACTTACTTTTAACAGGTTTAAGTTAGGCCTGGTTATGCTCGCCTCCTCCCGACATTTTCTGCCTTCAAAATTCGACGCGGGGCAGACCAAGAGAAAAAACAAAAAAATGTTTCCACGACCCGCCTGCGAGTGTGTGCTGGTTGCCTTCCTTATGCAGATTCGACCCATTGGTCGACGATTAAGCCTCACCAGTCAGTTCCCATCCCAATTAAGCCGCCTCGTCTGGGGCCACCCTCGTCACCCGTCGGACGGACATCCACCGGGACCCCCTACAGGCGGACCCCCCTCATCATCTTCAATGTGTCCGATATCCCGCCCCCTGCCTCTTCGAGGGTCACGGAATACGTGCACGAAGAAATCTCGGAGCTTGGGTGCCAGGTTGTATCCGGCCGAAGCCTCTAGCATTAGAACACCTAGCTCGTAAATCAGAGGGTGGTGACTCCCTTGGGTACCTCTGCATGCTACACAGGTCATCGATGCCCGAACATCGGGGTTAGGGGGTGACCCAAGAAGTCTCCTCTCTTGGGGAAGGCCGCGCCGCGCTCTGGAGTCATCTTAAGCCGGGGATCCACACCGACAAAAACACTGTTAACCAACCGCATCAGCTAACGAAATTCACTAATGTTGAATTAGGAAATTTTATTAACCAACACAGAGAGCTAGCAATGCTCGTGTGAGTGGGGAAGGAGTGTGTGGTGTTGTAGTATTAATATAACGCGCCTAAAAAAAGAAAAAAATATTGGAATACCTATAAAAATATTATCGAACATCTATAAAAATATTACGACAATATATAAATAGGTATATTTATTTTAAATATGAAAAAGGAGATGCTCCATTTATACCTCAGCAATATTTTATAAGATTTTTTCTTGATTATTATACCAAAAATGTCAAAAATATAAAGATGTTAGGTATATGACATAGAAAAAAGGGATATAAATTTGATGAATATGGTCAAAATCCAAAGAATTTTTCCCATGATGTAACACATAAAAAATAAAAATACACAAGGAGTTTTTAGAGTTGTAACATATATTATTTAGAGCTAAAACTTAAACCTACAGTGTTTCAAATAAATAAAAAATATTAAAGTTATATTTTTTTAACACTGAGACATCCTATATATATTATTACATTTTTAGTTTCTACTATGAAGACACAAAAATATTCTATCAAAATTTACCTCAAAATCATACTGACTGTTTTTGAAATATTTTAATTTTTATAAAAATTCAGTAACAATTGATTTATTTCTTCAATGCAAATTTACAACTAATACTGAATTAGCAAAATCATTTGTCAACATTAATACTATTTTTTAACATGCTGAAACCTAATATATGTAGGATTCAAGATTCTTAAATAAAAAAAATACGTAATAAAATTCCTAATGAACTTATATACCTATATTCAAAATATTATTAAAATGCGCATATTATATTTTTAAAAATAAAGAAAACTCTAAGTATGTCCTATAAAAAGAAATTTAAATTAAAAATAGCAATTTAGAAAAAATCAAGACATCGAATTCCAACAGGCGGCCATTTTATTTAAACATTCCTTAGCCGAAAGAAATAAACAAATAATGAAAGATACATTACGTAATTTACCAAAACTGTAGTACTATTTTACCCTTATGTAACACGCAGTATAGAAAGTACCAAAAATACATAGTTTTACATACTTATTTATTAATCTACGTATATTATTTAAACAATATTCTTAAAAATTAATAACTTAATGGGGAACATTGAGAAGAAGGCAGCCAGATGGATATTGCGAAATCCCAAAATTTTAAACTAAAATATCCCAAAAAATACATAAAATTATGGGTACTCACTTTTTCAGGAGGCTAAGCAGGGCACTAGTAACAGATTACGCATAAATTGTGTACACTAAACGCACTTTTTCGTGAGAAAATTAAGAAATCCATGCAACCGACGAGAGGACGTACGGATCCTTCGATTGCAAACGATAAAAGGAGGACCGGCGTTGCCAGATTGAAGTCATTCGTAAATTTTAAGCTGCTCATAAAATTAATTTATTTATTACTAATAAAATTGTTTATAGGAAAATTCTTCTAAATTAAGCTTAATTTTCTTCTCAAAAGTTATTATTTACTCAATACGTTCCACTGATATCGTTTTTTTACGTAAGGTAAAATATTTATTGTCATAAATAATAAGAAACAAATAAGTAATTATAAACATAAACACACAAAAATCATGAAATAAACATAAAATGAAGCTGTTTAAATATATTTTTAATGCTATAAATACATCGAAACCAAAAATAAAGACTATAATGTTAGTACGTAGTTACAAGAAGAAATAAAAGAAATTTCTACAAAACAACATTACTAGTACTTGTTTTATTAAAAATATATAGAAATGGCCCTTACTATAGTGTCAGTGATCAATTTAAACTAATATAATTTCACAAAAATCATACAGAAAAAAAGATTTTCGGCATTTTTTAACAATCCGACAACATCGAACGAGAATAAAATTCAAAATCTCTACGCGACCGAAACTGACCAATCACGATCGAGTATTTTTTGCTCTTGGATGCCTCGATTTTAACTTTTTTTAATAAACATGGATGGTTTTTTATTAAAATTTCAGTAGAATATGCTTCTTAAATTAATTAAAAGATTTGTTTTTATTTGCATTTATTCCCTCCAGTATAAAATGTCATACAAAACTTATTTTATATTGAAATTATCTGGTACACACATAATTAGATGAACTATGAAATCGTGCATTTCTTTAATATTTTAATAAATTATTAAGAAACAAGTGTTTTTGTTCAATAAATATCCCTTAGTTTAATAAGAAACTAATTCTATATAGTTAAATAGTAAGAAATATGAGATAAATTATATAAAAAATAACTTCATAAGTCATTAACTTGACTCAACGTTGACAGCTCTTACCGGATGTATCTGTTCAACTTTTGGCGTCACAATTTTCAAATTTGATATTTAATTAAGCTGAAAAATCCTTTATTTACAAGAAAAAATATATTAATAAGTAAAATAAGTTTCTTTCGATCATCTTGTACCTATTAGCTGTGTGTTTATCTCTGGTTTATAACAATAATTATAATAAATAATTATAATTATTGTCACAATTAAAACTTAAAAACGTACATATAAACATCTTATTTATTGATCTTAATAACATGAAAAAAAAAATTATAAATTATTTGTACAGATATCCCTTATATCGTAATGTAGATTGTCAGTGTGTAAATTGCTCAATTGACGTTTGACTTCGAAGATAATAATTCCTAAGGCTATACTTGTATTTAAGCTATCTAAATCATTGTGTAAAGGAATATTTAGACGAATTCCTTTCTTTTCTTCAGCTAGTGCGTAGGATTCAGGACTTATACCATGCGTTTCACCACCTAAAAAAATAATAGAGTGAAATAATGCAACGGAAACATTTTTAGTCATTTTTTTGTTATTTTTTTTTATTTTTAGCCCTATTTTCATGAATTTTTTATGAAACAAATATAAAAATAAAAAAAATAAATAATGGAATATTTATATTTAATTATTATGAAATAAATATATCAACTTTAATTCAAAAAATTGAATTTGGCCTTGAATTTTTACTCCCAATTAGGTGATTGCCTCATGTGCAATAAAATGTGATAAAAAAAACTTACCTAATATTAAAACAATATGTTTCGACATCTTAAAGTTAACAGAGTAATAAGGCAAGACTGGTATTGATTTATCTGTGCCCCCTGAAAGACGCTCCACATTATTATCGGCTATAAATAAACTATAGTTGTCAGGTAGTGCAGCTATAATGTCGCTCCAGTTGGTTTTGTTAACGATGTGTAACTTGAAATGAGCCCCACTACCAGTTCGCAATACTTTGGTATTCCAAGCATTAACACAACCTGAAAAATATCTTGTTATCAATAAATAAAAGCCAGTGGCTAGCAACAAACCTTTGGTCAAAATTAAATTTTCACACCCCACTCCACTACATATTCTTAAAATGGATCCTAAATTGCTGGGTTCTCTAACATTGTCGCAAATCACAGTTATGGGTAGAGGGTCAATAGGCTTATAACTTTCTGTGTCGGGTATTTGAAATATACCTGAAAAATAAAATTCAGCTTTTTTTTCCATTTCAATTATTTCAGCTGAAAAAAATTACCCATTATTCCTGGGCACATTGTTAAATCAGACCACGACTGAATTTCTTTGTACGGCAATTTATAAATTTGGACATCCTTACATGGTAAGAAATTTTTCAGACATTCAACCTAAAATTAATAGTACACGATTATTTGTATGTCAAAAAACTATGATTTTGTATATAATGTCAAATTGTATTTCTTATACGTTAGGTATTTTGCCTGTTTGTTACAAGTTTTAAATTAAAAAAAGGGTATTTTGGGCATACTAAACAGCACAACAAATTGTAAAAACCATAGGTTGAGGCCTTAAGGAGTTGGAAATTTACATGGTATTTCTTATGTTTGAAACAACAATGTACCACCCAGTCTATGATTTATATTAAATGTTAAAATCAAATAAATGTTACCTCTTTCAATCTGCTAAACAAAAGATATTGTAAATTGCAGCCAGATTGAAGAGCCTCTCTAATTAAAATCTTCCCCTCCAACAGCATCAATTTTTTCTTTTCCTTCATATTGCTGGATTTTGCCAATGCCATTAGCCTGCTAATGCGTATATCATTATTTCCCATTTTGGTATATACAACATTTCCATCTTTATCAAACGAAACAGATAACCCTTCGACACTTTTTTTCTGAATACCCTTCAAATGACTTATTGTAGACAAAGGCTCTTGCGTTGATTTCTCGCCTTTTGCACTAGTTTTCTGCAAAGATTGTTCGGTATTTTGATTAAAATCTTTGTCTTCTGAAACGGGCTCGGATAAAGTTATGCTATCGGTTGATTTAGCATAGTCCTCAGCAGCTGTAACTCTTGTAGTTCTCTGCTGCCATCGTGGTAGGCACCTAACGTGTTGAAGTTGCTGAACAACTCGATTTTTCAATAAATTTGCCATGTTTGTTGACTTTTTAATAAACAGCATATAAACAGGTTAGGTTGAAATATCTTCCCCTTAACTGTTTTATAGGCCATAGGCCTCTCTATTGTTATATTATATCTTATCTATGGGCACATAGTTCATATTTAATGGTGCTGTGGCTATGCTAATTTCGTTTTTTCATTTTTTCAACTGCCGATATGCTGCCGATAACAGTGGGGAAAATAATTTTTTAAAATTAAGAATATATGTATTTTTTGTTAGTTTATTGCAGCACATTTTAGAAATATTGACATCGATATCCAGAGTGATTCAAATTTAATATAAAAATACTTATTAAAAACCAACCGGTATTAATTGACATCAATTACTAACACTGAACAAAAGCAGTATAGTAATATCCAATTCTATTAAAAATACCACCTTATACTTGAATCACCTTGTATATCTAAAAAATATTTTTGAGTGCACTAACCACATTTTTTATCTTAATTTTCTTGATCATAAACAACTCCACTTATTCTACTTTGTGGTAAACCGAACCAATTTGTTTATAATTTGGAAAGTTTTTATCTTGAAATAAAACAGGATTCTAGAAACATTTTTTAAATATACCGCTATATTTCTTAATACAAATTTTAACATATTTTTGTTATTTTAAATTAACAATTTCTGAATATTGAGTTAACACAAAACCATCAGATTATTTCGTTCACATATAAAATAATAGCTTCTTACCAAAACAATTATTGACTTTTCTAACGTAAAAGCGAGTTGCAACTCCAACTGAACAAGTCAACCTACGGTAGGTGGCATTACCATTTTATATTAATTTCAAGAACAAAGATGTAGCCTTGAACCAATCATTCATAAGAACTAGTTATGTTTTAATACAGGTATTTTGTCAGTTTCTTAAAACCTAATTCTACCTGCCAATCTAATATTGTTAAAGTCTTTTTAAGCACTTTCTTTTGGTTTTTCCTCTTCCTTCTTCGAGACTTCTGCTTTGCTGGCCTCGTCAAAGTTTTCTACGAGGTCTGGGACATCTTCTTCATCTTCGGGAACAATTTTATTCACACCGCCAGCATTTGCTACAGAATTGGCCAAGCGTTTCAGTTGAGTAATGCCCTCAGGACCCAGCTGACTCAAAATTCCAGGAAGCATGTCTGTAATTTGTTTGTTCTCCCCGTGACCGGTAATGGCGAAAGTGTTGGCCGCTAGAGAGGCTTGCGTTTTGGGGTTGTTGAAATGGATGACGGATCCGTCTTCTTTAATCATATTTACCTAAAAATCGATGTTGAACTTAGTCAAAAACATGTTTAAATATTAATTAGCAAATTGTTACTAAAACAGAATGTATTACAGATTACCCACCTCTTCAATTCCAGGAATTGTATTTACGGATAACTTTTTCAAAGAGGACTGTAGTTTTTTATCGTCAGTGGCCTGAGTGGAGTGAACCACCTTCTTCTTACGTCTTGGGGTTCCTTTGCCTCCAATTCGCACTTGAGACTGAGTCTTCAACTTCTCGGCACTCATTCTCGGCCCCTTCTCACTACTCTTGTTCATTTTCGAGCAGTACAGTACTTCAGTTTGATATTATCGGACCAAAACAAAACGATTTTTTGCAATTATTTGGTGAATTTTACTAATCACACGTGTTCAGAACCCGGTGTAGGGAGAACAGAAAGAAAATGGATGACTTCCTCTACCAAAGATTAAAGTCCTCCACCAACAAATGAGCTTGCGCGAAATTTCCCTATGTCATTTTGACATTCCTCGTTCGCCCAAAATCAGCGGGACAATTTGAAACACCTGCTAAACGGTTAAAATAAAATAAATCCGGTTACATAACACAAAGAATAATAAAACCATAACTTAAAAATATAATATTCTTTACCATTCTTTGTTTAAAGCGAACAAAAACCATAGATAACAGAGCTAATTAAATAAAACGATGTCTTTGAGGATGTGCTGATTATATCAGGGTTGGGCGAGTAAAACTTACATGAAAACCTACGTCCATAGATTAATAAAGCATCTTTAAAAAGTGTGTTTTTTTAGGTTTTTCATCATATTTGGGCCATTTTGATGTTATTTTTATTTTGTGTAGAAATCCAAATCTAGTTTAGAAACAAATTAAAGAAATGTTATACAATGGTCATACAGACCATATACAGACGCATCCTTACAGTAAAAAAATATGCAATTCAAATTTTATAAATTCTTTTAAAAATACAACTGCTCATTTATTGGGATATTTTTTTGTCCTATAACTACCAGCTATCTTTTTCATTATTAAAAATAAGCTTTAATTCATTAATAACCAAAATAAGATGTTTCTTTTTCACCTGCGATGCGCGCAAAACAACGAATTATGTGAAAAATAATTTAAATAAAAAGGTCGATTGTAATGTAAGATTATTTATTTTTCCATTGAATTTTACTTTTTTCCTTTGCGTACTGACGCCTTTTCATCTCGTTTAACATCAGTTCCTGAAGAGACTTAATCATCTTAATTCTCTCGTTTAAATGCGGAACTTCAGTGACGAGTTCTTCGTCAGTTCTGCCTAATTTTTCAGCATCAATATCAGCATTCATGGAAAAAAGTTGCTGCTAAAACATGAAAAAAAAATTACTTTAACACGGGAGTAAATTAAATCCGAGCGCATATACTGTATATTGACTGTACCAATATAATCGCTTTTAGATTTAGCCGACGATTTTTTATATACCAAATCGTTTTCGACGAGGGCAACATTCGAACAAGGCATGTTGTTGTGCTCCGCGCAATACGCGTCGAAATCCGCGTGCAGTTTCTTCACCAAACTTTGTCGATTGTCGAAAAAGATCTTAAACTCTTCCTGCGACTTTAACGTTTGCTCTTGCTGATCGAGAAGCTGAGCGCGCGTGCTCTCCAACTGATCCTGGCACGATTTCTCGCTGAAACTGATTACCAAATTGCCATTTTCATCTAGTTCGTCTTTACTATTGAATTTTCTAAAGGTTTGTGCCTGAAATTATAGATATAAAACACTCGCAAAACAGTTTTAATACGAAATAATTTGATTTTTTGAATCTGTTTTGCTGGTTTTATAATCATTACCACAACTAGATCTCGGCTGCACTTATCAAGCGTGTCTTTTAGCTTATTTAAACGATCCACTTCGGCAAGATAGATTTTGAACTGACTACGCAGTTCTTTTTCGTTGAATTTGTATTCTTCAACTGTGTTTTTATAACTGACAGATGTAGTAAACTAGAACAGAAAACAGAAAAGTTTTTACTATACATGTGGCCAAAATTATTGCATATATTTATTAGATATTTTCTTTGAATAAGAAGACTAAGGAAGGAGCATATCAAAAATCTTAGGTACACCGCGATGGGCCTCAAATATGGCCGACTTAAATTCCGGTTTATCAGTGTCGTTCTAATTTTATTTAAAAAATGTAAAACTATGATGTAGGGTAGACGTGGGGTAGACTCAATAATTTGTTGTTTTATTTTACGTTGTGAATAAATGTTGGTAGTTATTAAAATTGTTATAAATAATATAAAAATCTAATAAAACTAGATAAATTATAATAAGTATTTATTAACACAAACATCCGATACGCTACTGAAGCAAATAAGTCAAATTAACGTATCTAAATTATTGACATCTAATCTTTCTCACAAGTAATAAATAAAAAGCTGAAATGCAAGAAAAATATATAATTTAAGTGAATTTCATGGGCATCGTCAAGTTTAAGCAGTATGTGATTATATAGTCATATACTAGCGAAAAGTTGTTCCATTATTTCCCTCAATTTTTGCCGAGATCTACCGCACGCTACACAATACACTATTTTAGAGTCTTTTTCGATAAATCACGATAGTGTCACTGTTATTTTAATATTTGAGGGATAGTTTCACCCCTTAGATTCTGAGTTTCAAAAAATCCCTTCTTATCGAACCTCTACACCTTAAAAACAATCTGTTTTCCAAAAATCAACTTTTTACGTCAAGCGCTTTACAGGATCGTGATATAAATAACATAAAATAAGCTCCGTAAAGACTGACAAATCCACAAAATTTCAAATCAAATTCAAATGTGTCAAATGAATCGTCAAACAGAACTGTCAAGGATCCCCACCATGCATTTCCGCCCACCATGCATGAATACATGGATAGCATTATGCTCCTTCCTTAGTCTTCTTATTCAAAGGATATTTTTATTTTATTTTGTACCTAATATGATTCTTTTTATATTTTTGGACATATTGGCTTACTACACGACTAATATAATATTAAAAATCTAAGTGCAACTAGGCTGTTATTATAATTTTATTTCATAATGAGTGAAAATCAACAAAAACAAATTTCATTTTAAACAGAAAATATTGAAAACAATTTTAATTATTTCTCACAACTAATTAACAGTCTGTCTTGCCTCCACGAGCCTCAATTCAAGCTGTGAGACGACGTGGGCATCGCCAAGCAGTTTAAGCAGAATCGTGATTACTCAGTGGTCATATTTTATGAAATATTTTGAGGGATAGTTTCACCCCTTAGAATTCGAGTTTCAAAAAATCCTTCTTATCGAACCTCTACACCCTAAAGTCAATCTGTTTTCCAAAAATCAACTTTTACGTCAAGCGCTTTACAGGATCGTGATTAATTAATGACCAGATTTTTCGAAACACCCTGTATACAATTTTAAAAAATTATAAAATATGTAAAAAACAGAATAAAATATAAGTGTTTTAAGCAATTTTTGGAAACTTGACCGTTTTTTTAAATAAAAATATTGTAATATTTGAGGGGTTTTCAAGTAGAAGGGGACTGGAATTTCGAAAAATCCCTTCTTATCGAACCTCTACACCCTAGAATCAACCTGTATGCAAAAATTGAGCTTCTTACGTTGAGTGGTTTGAGCAGGATCGTGATTAATCAGTATGTCAGTCACACAACTACTTAAGGATTTTATATATCAGTATAGATATTCTTGAAATTCCTTTCCGTATATTTTTAAACGATATATATGCAATAATTTTGGCAATGTATATATATAGGCATGGCCTATATCGATATACAGGGTGTTTCAAAAAACGTGTGCCATCTCTCGTGGGGACATTTCCTCGCGTAAAAATAAGATTTATTTTTCATATTTCAACCCAAGTAGCATTTTCACGACTTGCGACCACATGTTTACTAAACACAACGTTGGATTAGTTACAAACAATAGTTAGCCCCCTACCTTGGGTATTAAAATAAATTTAAACGTTTTTATAACGTTGTGCTGACGTTGGATTAGTACTACAGCAAAGTAGAAGCTTCTGCGACGTCGAATAAACGTTGTCTTGTAACCTATTATTAAGTGATCTTTAGGGTGATTCGGACAACGTAGTTACAACGTTGGACAATATAGAGTTTTCCTGACGTCAGTTTCAGGACCTATTCCAACGTTATGCAAACGTCGTCTGTTTTACTAATTCCAACGTTGTTTAGATTTCCTTATTCTTAATTGGTAGGACGTCGAGTCACTACCTTCTCTTGCAACTGTATTGAACCATAACCTTAAATCTTAAATTTTCACTTCATTGTTCTGTTCAGTCAGACAGTTCAGTGCTGTTTTTGTTTTTATAAAAAAACTTAATTAAAAATAAGAAAGGTACATATAAAACTAAATTTAAATATACATCGACATATATTACCGATAGTTTATCCACTCCCTCGTTTATTTAGATTATAGAGGGCGGCACCAGCTAAACTCTAGGATGACTAAATTAGGCAATCTTGCTACTAGTATACTACCTGTTAAGGCCGAACTGCGACTTTATTAATCCAGTATGCGACTACTCGAACTACTCCATCTTAATCCCCAAAACAACAAAGTGAAAGCCGCCATGTTGTGAAATAAGAAAATATTTCGTTCCTAAAATAGCAATTCCTGCTTTTTGAATACATTAACTTGAAATATTTGACCCTAAAAAACAGGCGGAAACAATTTTTTTTTTGGAATAAATTATTCTCATTTTAGTAAAAAAATTCAAAAAATTTTTAAAACTTCTTTAATTTTAAGGCCCATTAGTATTTTTCAAAGTAGAAACAATACATTTATCAATAAAGTTGTTTGCGTTTAACTTTTTTGCCTTGGGTAACGAGTTATAGAGTCGGTTAAAGTGTTTCAATAATTATGATCTTCAAACATCCCCCAAACTTAAATACTTTTGTTTTGTTTTCCTTCACTGCCATCTGACATATGTCTCTAACTAAATCATAAAAATAATATTTTTACTACAATTATCCCAATTTAGGATAAAACACGACTTAGACGCCATATTAGTTTTGTATTTCTGTGAATTAGGATTTTAAACAACGTTGCAGTTTGTACTAAATTAGGCTTCTAGCCAACGTCGGTATCCAACGTCGTTTCGACCCAAAAATTATTCTCCAAACTAGTGCAGACTAGGGTTGGCACGAGGTTGTGCCGACGTTGCGCCCCGACGTTTGGTCGCGTGACACAACGTTGTCCCAACGTCCAAATGCTGCTTGGGAATCATTCAATCATCATTTTTCAATCTTATTTTTACATGAAGAAATGCGTCCCCACGATAGATGGCACAGTGTTTCGAAACACCCTGTACGTCTAAATTCTGATACTGGCTCTTACCTGTTTCCACAACTCCATATTGTCAGTAACGAGGTCGGGTAAGGGCGGATTGTAGCTAGAGCTGCTCTTGATGCTGGCTCTGGAATCTTTTCTGTCCACCGACGTATTGCTGATCGATCTTTTTCTGCCCGAACGTTTAGTCGCGTTCTCCACTGTAGACTTTCTTTTGTTCGCTTTGTGAGTGAGCGAAACTTCAGTCGAAACTAAGGAAATTACACAATTTGATTACTCCATATATTATAGTAGTAATAATAGTAATAGTAAGCAATAACCATGAAACTCGGTGCTGGCGGGTATTTTTACTTTCTTTTCCAGAGTGCCGCTGCTGGATCTTCTCTCCTTCAAACTCATACTCTCTTTGGATTTTTTTCCATTTTTAGAAGTCTAGAACGTGCGTTTAAAGATGTATTTTTATTATTAAAACGGATATACGGGGTGATTCCGAATTGTATTCGAGAAACTTCGACAGCATGATCTGCAGATAAAAATAAGTAAAAAGATTCGTATAAATTTATCTCCTAAAATGCTTCGTTTCGAGGGTGTACAGGGTGGGTCAAATTCGACGCTTTTAAATGGAAACACCCTTTTCTATAGGAGATAGACGAAAACTAATATCGGTGTCTGGAGCTCAATTTTCATCAAAAACATGATGGTGAAAACCGCACATCAATATCTGTTACCGTTTCGGCGTTACGGGGTGTTTTTCAAAAATGTGCATTTTTAACAAATCGCTGTAACTTTTTTACCATGGAAAATTTTGTATTTCTATGAAAACATTTCCAGAGCACCTTTTTACGTAGAATTTAATGGTTTAAGTATAATTTTTTTAAAATTAATAATTTAAGAGTTATCAACAGAAAAATTGATTTTTTATTTGGGACACCCTCTATATGTTTAATTAACTGAAAAGAATTTAAAACTACCTTTCACAAAAATATAGCACACCTGATATTTTGTTATAATCCCCTTCGAAATACAGAATTTTTAAAAGTTCGCCACTTTAAACTAGTAGGCTTTGGACCACTTATTGATGATATGCCCTTAATGGAACTCGAAAACATATTTTTCCAGCAAGACGACGCACCGCCTCTGAACGCTGAAGTTATCAGCAAATTTTTGCAGCCAATTTTAAGAATAATTGAATAACTAACCAAGATCCCAGCCGTTGGCCGTCGAGGCCGCCTGACTTAGTGCCCATGGATTTAATCCTATGGATATATTTGCGGAAGAATAAAGGTTCCTTATTCTTCCGTATAATCTAGACAAGAATTAGAAATACTTAGCAGTTATGGGAGGGTATCTTTCATCTCCACTGAATTAATGAATTCCGCGAGAAATGCTCAAAAACTGCCCCGTCTGTCCATAACATAAGACGGTCGATATGTCGAACACCTGTAGCAAAATCTCATGTCTTGGTTTGCTATTTATTTTTATTGTTATTAGATATAGTTTAAATGTGTTGATGTTGGTTAAATATATTTTAAATTGTTATAAAATTCTGCATCTCTCATAGCCAATATTATTTTTGTTTTAATTGATGCTCACAGCTAGAATTTTTTTGCATTACAGCCGGTGCCGTTCAAAGCCTACTTATTTAAAGCAGGCGAATTTTTATATACTCTATATCTCGAAGAGGAATCGAGCAAAATATCAAGTGTGTTATATTTTTGGAAAGGTCATTTTAAATTCTTTTAAATAAATTAAAAATATACAGGATGTCCCATATAAAAAATCAAATTTTCTGTTGATAATTCTTAAATTATTAATTTAAAAAAATTATACTTAAACCATTAAATTCTACATAAAAGGTGCTTTGGAAATATGTTTTTATAAAAATACAAAATTTTCCATAGCAAAAAGTTACAACGATTTGTTAAAAATGCATATTTTGAAAAACACCCCGTAACTCCGAAACGGTAACAGATATCGATATGCGGTTTTCACCATCATGTTTTTGACAAAAATTGAGCTCCAGACACCGATATTAGTTTTTGTCTATCTTCTATAGAAAAGGGTGTTTCCATTTAAAAGCGTCGAATTTGACCCACCCTGTACAATTCGAAATAAAAATGAAACTTCTTCATCCTGTGTCTCCGAAACCATTTTAGGCTATATACGAACTTTTTTACCTATTTTTGTCTGCAGATATTATGCTGCCCAAGATTCCCGAATACGATTCGGACCACCCAGTATATGTTTAATCATTCCGGACCAACAAAACTGATGTATACAGGGTGATTATATCTCTAACTTGGAATAACTAAGTAAAAAATAAATCAAAGATACACGCTGAATTAATACAACAAACTGATGAAACTTACAGAAGAATTGGTACAGGATTTCGAGGATTTTATCTTCAAAGAAGACGATTCGCTCTTCACCATCAACTGTTGATTTTCCGCTTGCAGTCTCTCTATGCTTTCCTCGCGACTTTTGTAAGTATATTTCATACGTTCCAAAACCATTTTCGCGTCTGCCACGTTTAGCATTTTCATCTCGTCCAAATGGTTGTTCAAATAATCGCAAACCGTGCGGTCCACGTGCTCGATCCTCTCACTGCTCAAGCCGAAAACGAGATTCTGATTGAGAAGGACCGAATCCAGGTATTTCTCTCGTTGGCACGCTTTTAGTTCTTTCTGAAATGAATGAATAAAACTGGTTGTAGACCACCCCCTGTATACGGGGTGTTTCAAAAAACATGTCCCATCTTGCTGTAACCCATATCCACATGTTATTAAAATATCGCACTTATAGTAACTTTTACCCTCAAAATTTCATTGGAATCGCTAAAAACACTTGGAAGAAAATTGTTTGTAAATCGAAAAAAAAAAATTAAAACTGTAGCTACAAAACGAAGCAGAATCGGAAATATGATATAAAAAATAAGTCTTATTTTTACGTGTGGTATCTCCCCACGACGAGAGATGGCACATTTTTTTAAAACACCCTGTATAATATAGTTTTTTTTTGCTAAGAAAAAATTCTAATAAGTACTTTTAAATACTCCAACTCCAGTTCTTCGTTCATGTAGTAAGGATTTTCGCTGATTTTCGGTTTCAAGCCCTTGACTATGGCTCCAAATCTCAAGGATGATAAGGTTACCAGCAAGTCTGCGCGGAGTCTTGTAATATGCCCTATAAAACTGGTTGAACAAGATTTTTTTTATATTGAACAAGCTTATAGACACCCTGTACGTATACAGGGTGTCTAAAATAAAAACATTTTGCAATGATCTTACACCAGAGAGTGTCGATTGGACAGATCTCCGTCTAGATAATGAAGTAGAACATTCGTACGTTGTTTGACCTTAATTCGTTCCGGCATGTTTTCCGTCAAACATAAAACGAACTGTTCCAGTTCCGACTTGATAACATTCGCTTGACCGATGGTCTTCGCCTCTTTGTGAGTGGCCGACGATTTTGCGTAAGCATTTCCTACCAAATCCAACACATGTAGCTATGGAACAAATTGAATTGATAAAGAAATCCAATTTGCATGCGATATTCTATCTCTAAAACCTTTGAGACTACTTTTGTGGGATTGGTCAGGTCCGTATCGCGCCTGGTGACGTAGAAAGTGACCACGGTACTGTAAAGATTCGAGGCGTAGCCACTTTCAGCATTGTTGAATCGTTTTCTTCCTTCACCTTAAATTAATTTCATATACTATCACAGGAATGAAAGACCGATGTAACGGGAAAGGTGTAAAGGGCACCTTAAAATTTTGCCGGGTGCGTCTCAAAAGTGGCTCACCCTTATAGCTTTTTTATTTTTTCAGATAAAAAAACGAGATTTGGTATGTTAGTATATGACATAAATTAGGATTGATTGACGTATTCAATTATTTTCGGTCACTTCCTGTTTCACCGGAAATGACTACCACTTTTGATTTTTAAATGGCACCCTCGGTTTTTTTTTACTTTATTCGATAGAAAATAATTAACACTCTTAATAAAATGACATATCATATGTCAACTTTTGACATTTTTGCATTTGACATTATTTGAAATTATAACTTGCGGTTCGTAACGAAAATTTGACTCGAAATACCGAGTGTGTGGTATCAAATTATTCGTAAAAAAATGCTTTTTCTAAATATGCTAATGAGCCACCCTCGTTCCATTTGAAAAAATTGAGATATGATTAAAAATACGATTTGAGCATTTTCAAACTGGCCACGACAAAACACTAAAAACATTAGATGATCAAATAATCTACTTTTCCAAGGCTCCTTGATTAAGAATTAGTGTTTTTAACATAGCCATGGCACTCTAGATTGAATTTTAAAATACGATTTTTTATTAAGCGAGACTGTCAAAAGTTGACATATGATATGTCATTCTATTCAGAATGTCATCCTCTATCGATTAAAGTAAAAAAATACCGAGGGTGCCATTTAAAAATCAAAAGTTGTAGTCATTTCCGGTGAAACAGGAAGTGACCAAAAACAATTAAATACGTCAATGAATCCTAATTTATGTCATATACTGACATACCAAATATCGTTTTTTTATCTGAAAAAATAAAAAAGTTATAGGGGGTGATGAGCCACTTTTGAGACGCATCCGGTATTTTAAAGTTTTTTATTTGCGTTCCAGTCCAGTGGGAACTTCAATTTTTAATCCAGAAAGAAATACTAAAAAGTAAAATAATTAGCTACAAATTGGTTAAAAGATCATCAAAATCGGCCCACTAGAACAAAATAAACTTCAAAATACATCAAAATGTTCGTGCCGATCGATTAGTGTATAGTTAGGAAAAAGTGTCTAATAAAAATTATATAAAATAAAGAATAACGACAAAGATAATAATTAAATGACCGATATTTACCTAGAAAAATACATTTCAACGCTTGATATTCGTTCTTGACTTCGACTTTAGAAAACGGTTTACGATGGGTTATAGCGTGATCGTCCAAGAGATCAACGGCATTGGAACGCTCAAATTCAATGTACGACATCTCAATGCAAACTTTCATATTTCTAGGCTGCTCCCGCTTCATTTCGAACACAGCGGATGCAATTCTCGGTACCAATCCGAAATCCTACGAATAGAAAATGGAAAAAGTATGGTATTTTAATGAAAAGTTTTATACAAGCTAAAACCTTTTCTGCAAAATTCAGACCGCCAACCGTAAATGTTTTTCCCGATCCTGTTTGTCCGAAAGCAGTAATAACGGCCGTTTTTCCTTGCATGACACTAAAAATTATATCGTTTATATGAAATAATATCCCCGCTATATTGTTTAAATAAGGGCACTTGCTCGTTTAATAAGTCCAATGCGATTTTTTCGAAAATATGATCCTGACGCGCTTCTAGAAATACTCCGTCAGTTTGAAAATGCCAGAAGTTTTTTTTCGAGCCGGTATAGTTCTTGGCCAGTTCTTGCAAACGGCGCACCAATACTTTGTTGGATTGTTTGTCGATAACAACATTTTCCAAATCAGTTTCTTCGGTTGGATACACGCGATAAAAAACTTTAATGCTGCCTGTCATTTTTATTTTGATTAATTCATATTAATTTTGCTGACATTTGACAGAATTCATCATGAATTCATAAACAAACATTACATACCGACGGTTTTTTGTGGTCTGTTCCCGACTTTTCCCCCTTTTTTAATTTATCTTAAATATACAAAGCTTTGAATAAGAAGACTAAGGAAGGAGCCATAGATAAATGCAACAAGTTTAGATTGGAAAGCCCGTAAAAATTTTGGGTCGCGAAATTATTTTGGGTCGCGACCGTTATACGCGATCTGGCGCTGCTATAGCGGTCGCTAAGAACAACGGCAAACAAAGACAGAAATAATTTTCTCTTGTCAAAGTCAGAATCTTCAAAAATCATAATAATCTTTCAAAATCTAAACCGCTCTCATTAAAGAAATTCCGAAAAGTGTTTATAGCGTCCATTTACAAAGTAATAATTGCTATCTTGTGAGTTTAATTCACGTTTTATTTACTCCAACCGGTGATAATTGTGAAAAAGTGGCATTAAAAACTTAAAAAGCTGTGCTGTGAACTGTGAACTGCAAAAACCATAGTGAATCGTGGCATAACGTCGGTTTCCAATGTTTCATAGGTATTTCATACATGCGTCCTTATATAAAATAAAGTTTCTTGTATGCAACACACTGTCTTTTATTTATAAAATTAAAGGAAAATAATAATAAATTTGAATAAACAATATTTGGCGATATAATTCCGGAAAAAGCCGAACCGCTCCGAAATTTTCAAAAGTTTTGGGTCGCGACCGTTGCAAAAATAGCGCCAAATAGTGTTTACATTGTCCTTATGGGCACTTTCCAATCTAAACTTGTTTCATTTATCTATGGAAGGAGCATAATGCTATCCATGTATTCATGCATGGTGGGCGGAAAAAGGACTCTAGGGTGGGGATCCTTGACAGTTCTGTTTGACGATTCATTTGACACATTTGAATTTGATATGAAATTTTGTGATTTGTTAGTCTTTACAGAGCTTATTTTATGTTATTTATTATTTATTCTACTACTGATAGTTGTATAAAAGTAGTAAATCTAGATGGAAATTGTAGCAGAACTTAAATTAACAGTGACATTATCGCGATTTATCGAAAAAGACTCTAAAATAGTTGGTTGTGTAGCGTGCGGTAGATCTCGGCAAAAATTGAGTGAAATAATGGAACAACTTTTCGCTAGTAAGTGACTATATAATATACATACGTGTAGTAAACCGATCATTTATGAAATTCACTTAAATTAACTAAATTATATATATTTTCTTGCATTTTAGCTTTTATTTACTACTTGTCAAAGATCAGATGTCAAAGAATTTTGATACGTTAATTTGACTTACCTGCTTCAGTAGCGTATCGGATATTTGTGTTAAATAAATACTTATTATAACTTATCTATTTTTATTAGAATTATATATTTTTATAACAATTTTAATAACTACCAACATTTATTCACAACGTAAAATAAAATAACAAATTATTGAGTCTACCCCAGGTCTACGCTACATCATAGTTTTAGATTTTTAAATAAAATTAGAACGGCACTGATAAACCGGAATTTAAGTCGGCCATATTTGAGGCCCATCGCGGTGTACCTAAGATTTTTAATATGCTCCTTCCTTGGCTCCTTCCTTAGTCTTCTTATTCAAAGGTTGGATCCATATGGACGGTTTTTTTGGTATTAGAGTTTAAAAAAAACTTTTTGTGGCAATCAATTCTGCTTTAAAAATGCACCAAGTCAAAGTTGAAACATAATTTTGTTAGTCACCTTTTTTAAAATAATAATTAATCAATTTTAAAAATTTTCGTTTAAATATTTTGTATTTGACAGCTCCCAGATGTTAGCTGTCCACTTTGACTTGGTGCATTTGAAGTTGTTTTCAAACTTTTTTCAAAGCAGAAGTGATTTTTTAAAACTCTAATATAAAAAAAAACGTCCATATGGATCCAACTTTATGGTGGACACTGTATATAATGTTTATTATATTTAATTTAAATTTAATTATATTTTCACTGGAATGCAAAATAATGTGTTTATCGAAAACTGGTTGTATCTCTTTTTACTTAATGCGTTTTAGCCCAAACTAAAACGAAAATATTATAGGTATTAGTGTATAAATAATAACAAAAAAAGAATGTTGACAAAATGGTGAATGCAACAAAAAAATTTCAAATATTTTAAAAAATGTTGACAAAATGGTGAACGCGCCATAAAAATTTTCGCCTGCGCCGCAATTTAAAAAATTAACTCTTCTTATACCCACGAGCCGCCACTGAGTTTCTTACCCGTTAGAAACAACTAGTCGTCATACTTTAGCTAAATATTGACCTCAAAATTTTACCCAGCTAGTAGGATAAAATAAAACAAATACATATACTATTACTTACATATATTTTATTAACAATAATAATATTGATACATTTTTCATACAAGTTTATGTAGCATTAATGTTCTTAACCTAAAGCTAATACAAAAAAAAACCGAATCATATAAATCATCCACAAGATTATTAAGCCTTTTTGAAGCTCTAAATTTATCTGAATTGATGCAGACTGATGCGCAACCCTATAGAATCTTTTCCAATCTCTGCAACATGGCATACATTGCACAGAACTCCTTTATATTTCGGCAAATACGAACAGCCACAAAGGGGACACTTTTCTTCCGGTTTGCCCCTGTATATTGGCGTGTAGGAATAGCCGCACAGAGTGAAAGGGTTGTGCTCGTCGTAGTGGAGCTGCAGCTCATCGGTAGGGTTAGAATCGCAAGCCTAAAAATATTACTAGTTAATCCTTTGAATAAGAAGATTAAGGAAGGAGCATATCAAAAATAGATCGAAAGCGACGGGCTCCTAAAATGGCCGACTTAAATTTCCGGTTTATCAGTGTCTTCTAATTTTTATTTTAAAAAAATGTAAAACTATGATGGTAGGGTAGACGTGGGGTAGACTCAATAATTTGTTGTTTTATCTTTACGATTTGTGAATAAATTTTGGTAGTTATTAAAATTGGGTTATAGAAATAGTATTAATTTAATAAAAATAGATAAAGTCCTTAATAAGTATTATTAACACAAACATCCGATACGCTACTGAAGCAGGTAAGTCAAATTAACGTATCTAAATTCTTTGACATCTAATCTTTGACAAGTAATAAATAAAAGCTAAAATGCTAGAAAAATATATAATTTAGTTAATTTAAGTGAATTTCATAAATGATCGGTTCACTACACGTATGTATACAGTAATACCCCGGACTTACGCGATAGGTGGGACTGAGCGCTATCCGCGTAAGTCGAATTCGCGTAAGTCGGGGTACAATTTTGCATATAAAGACATACAAAGTATGTTTAATTGGGACTGGAGACTAAATAAAACAATATGGCTGGTATAGCCACCTTCATTTATCATAGCTTTGAGTTTCTCTGGATAGAGAGATGCTGCCTCTTTATCTGCACTTGCCGCCTCTCCACTTTCTGCAATGCTATGCCAGTTACAGCGACTTTTGAACCGGCTGAACCAACCGTTACTGGCTTTAAACGTTTCATCTTTAGCCATCTCCCCAGCTTCTTCTTTTAATTTCTCAAAAATTTGGTTTAGCTTTTGAAAGCACACCGTGTTCTGATCAATAGGACAATTTTTCACACTTACTTGATTATCACACCATAATTTTAACAATGTTTCCATTTCAGCGATAATACCATGCCGTTTACGAATGATGCTTGAATTCAAAGACTGAGCATTTTTCACAGCTTCGAGAATTTTTTCTCTTACTTTTCGTAATTGATCTGACTGTCGATTCCGGAAGTTCATACTTCTTCGCTAAATTCACAAAATTTTTATTTGCCATTTTCGTAAGTTCTTTTAATAATGTTAAGTTTACACTCCAAAGATAATGTTTTTCTCTTCTTGTTTAAAGCAAAAGAGTCGGTTCTACTTCGTTTGGATGCCATAGTACTTAGTAAATATCTCAGGTCGTCGCACAACGCACAAAAAAACACAAAATCGTAACTTATGTACCTACGCGCCGATTCCGCACTACACGTATGTGCTTGTTGTAAACTGAACGAATAATAATGCGGGCGGGGGGAGTCAGAAACAAACGCCGCCGCTTGACCTTGACTGCACGGCGTTCAAACAAAAAACGAATAGACGAGAAAATTAAATCGCGTAACTCCGAATTCGCGTAAGTCGAGGTAGCGTAAGTCGGGGTATTACTGTATTATATAGTCACTTACTAGCGAAAAGTTGTTCCATTATTTCACTCGATTTTTGCCGAGATCTACCGCACGCTACACAACCAACTATTTTAGAGTCTTTTTCGATAAATCGCGATAGTGTCACTGTTAATTTAAGTTCTGCCACTAAATTTCATCCTAGATCTACTACCTTTATACAAACTATCAGTAGTAGAATAAATAATAAATAACATAAAATAAGCTCCGTAAACACTGACAAATCCACAAAATTTCAAATCAAATTCAAATGTGTCAAATGAATCGTCAAACAGAACTGTCAAGGATCCCCACCCTAGAGAGCTTTTATGGTGGCTTTTCCGCCCACCATGCATGAATACATGGATAGCATTAAGCATACCGCGCACTTATGCGCAGCGCGGCGCGGCGAAGCGCGGCGAAAAACCGTGCAACGGATTAAATTTGTGTTATATAATGCACGTCCGCTGACTCAAGCGAAGCAACCGCTTGCACCGCGCGCCGAAGCGCCGTTCGTTGCAGACCTAGAATCCAAAGCGAAGAAATTCTCTTCGGGCCGCTTCGCGTGCCCTAGTGCGCGGTGGTCAGCGGAAATTTTCTTTGTTTTTGCTCATTTTCGGAATTTATTTTGGGTGTCTTCGGATTAATGATTCTACGATTGATGTATTACTAATTGGCATTTAGGTTGTGTTTAGTCAAGAACCCGTTTATTTTGTTTGAATTTGTTTCTTGTAATTTAATTATTGAGATCATGGGTGATGAAAACATTCATTTTTGATTATTACAGAGCTACAAAAGAGTATATGATGTTGGTTAGGGACTCCAAATTATCACAACCCAATTGAGGATTGAGACAATATCTGTGAAGAAAATAAGCTAATATTGTTATATTTTTAGATCATAAATAAAAATTTAAAATATGGTTTCCACCAATGTACGGACTATTTAATTTAGAATAAACGGAAAGATCACCCATATAAAACAAATAATATAAATTATTCTCTATTAGTTTTATTAGACATTATTAAAAAAACTTGCTTGAACTTGGAAACTGAAAGTCTTCCTTAACGCCCAATTGGGCAGCGAAAATCTAGTTTTTGACACTCTATAGTTGGTATTAACAAAGAAAGAAGTTCAGCAAGTTTTTGGTGGGTCATTCTATAATACATTTTTAATAAAAATTTTTCTTTTGGACTTCCAGCTTTCGTCTTTCTTAAGCGGCCCTCACACGATCAATAATATTGTCAATGTTTTTTATTGTCAATATTTTATCAATTATTTGAAAGTTTGGCCTGACACGGTCAATACATATATCAATATTAAGTTTTGTGCAGATATTAAGTGTGAATTATACCCTCGATTATACCCTATGCCAAAAAATTAAAGATAAAAAAAGCGTGTCATTTTGGCATTTTGGCAGTGAGTGTCAGTCAGTGAGAAAAAATAGAGAAAAGCATTTAAGAAAAGACCGTTTATATAAAATTATGGATATCGGAAAAGAGGAAACGGGTTCGGCCCACCACTTTAAATCTTCTTAGAGTACGTTTAAGAAACGGAGAGCCTGATGATTGCGATCTAAAACTGGTGAAAACAATGACGGCGATGTTCCGTCTTCCGCCATGGTTACGAATAAACTAGTCAAATTTTGTCAATCATGCGACCTAACGATCAATATATTGTCAATACGCCTAGCTCCGCCTTTAATATTGTCGAGTATATTCAGGGTCCCGAAAATCCATCAATATATTGAAAGTACATCAATATGTACGTTCAAACGCTCAATAATATTGTCAATTTTTTTTTTTATTATTGACAATATTATTGATCGTGTGAGGGCCGCTTTAAATCTGAATGAAGGTGTATATTTCCTTAACGCATTTTCTTTTTTATATTAATGTTATGAATCCAAAAATTTTTCTCTTTTTTGTTACTCACCCATATCTTTTTCTTTAGTTATTGTACATTTAAAATAAAAAAATCTCCCTCTGAACTGCTGCTGGAACGTGAGGACATAATGAAGATTTAATACACCTTTATATCAAACCGTCACAGAGATAATACTAAAATTGAAAGGGTCAGCTCAAAACAATTTTAAACTTTAAATTACAACCGCGTACGCAAAACCGTGCATAAGTTAGCGGACCCATCAAAAATTCGCCGCGCTGCGCCGCGCCGCGCTTCGCATAAGTGCGCGATATGCTTTATGCTCCTTCCTCTTTGAATAAGAAGACTAAGGAAGGAGCATAATGCTATCCATGTATTCCTGCATGGTGGGCGGAAAAGCAACCATAAAAGCTCTCTAGGTTGGGGATCCTTGACAGTCTGTTTGACGTTTCCATTGACACATTTGAATTTGACTTTGAAATTTTGTGTTTTATATAAAATCAGATAAAAAAAAATATATTTTATGTTATTTATTATTATTCTTACTCTGATAGTTGCTATAAAGGTATTAAATCTAGATGGAAATTTGTGGCAGAAACTAAATTAAACAGTGACACTATAGTGACACTATCGCAATTTATCGAAAAGGACTCTAAAATAGTTGGTTGTGTAGCGTGCGGTAGATCTCCGCAAAAATTGAGTGAAATAATGGAAACACCTTTTCGCCTAGTAAGTGACTATATAATTATACATACGTGTAGTAAACCGATCATATATTGATTCAACTTAAATTAAAACTAAATTATATATTTTTCTTGCATTTTTAGCCTGTTTATTTATTACTTGTCAAAGATTAGATGTTTAAAGAATTTATATACGTTAATTTGACTTTACCTGCTTCAGTAGCGTATATTCGGCATTGTTTGCTGTTAATAAATACTTATTTATAACTTATCTATTTTATTAGAATTATATATTTTGGATAACAATTTTTAATAACTACCAAACATTTATTCACAACGTAAAATAAAACAACAAATTATTGAGTTCTACCCCACGTCTACCCTACATCATAGTTTTACATTTTTTAAATAAAATTAGAACGACACTGATAAACCGGAATTTAAGTCGGCCATATTTGAGGCCCATCGCGGTGTACCTAAGATTTTTGATATGCTCCTTCCTTAGTCTTCTTATTCCTAAGAGTTAATCACTAAAATCCTTAAGAAAAAAACAAGGATGGGTGCATAGAAAAACCTCTAACGTAAAAAACTATTTTTTACGTGTCACATAAAAGAACTCACTTGAAGTATTTTCCTGGCCTGTTGGGCGACTTCGGGCCTGGGTCCCAAATCCAGCAGCCTCTTGGCGAAGGAGGCGGCCGTTCGACAGTTCTTCAGCTTGAAGAACATGTTGAGCGCGGTGCGCAAAGTGAGAATTTGATGCACCGCTTGCAGTTTGCAGTGGGTGAAGTACGCCGCCATTTCGCATTGTCTCTTTTGTTCCTCCACCGTACCTAAAACAAGGAGATAATATAAACACTAGATTTATTTTCGTAAAATCAATTAAAGCCCACCTTTAGGCAACGTTTTCCTTAAGGTCTCCATCTGCAGTCCGCAAATATACTCCCCGCATATCCTGACCAACTGCTGCGCCTCGGCAATCTCCTGCTTGGTGTCCACCACCAGCAACGTAACCGACAACAGAATATTCTGGAACTTCTCGATGGCCTCGGTGAACTTGCCGCCGGTGGTCAGCTGGTAGCCCAATTGCAAATCGGCCACCAGAGCGTTCAGGTCCGTGCCCACCTTGGGCAGGCCGTTCTTCGCCGCGGCCTCCTTCCAGTTGCGCAGCGGGTGCGTGAAGAGGGGCGGTACGTTGGCCAGGTGGGTGGCCACGGTGCGCGAGCCCGCGTACAGGCCGGCGAACAAAGGCTCGTACGGCTTGAAACTGACCACGCCCAGCTGGTCGTGCAGGAGGCGCGCCGCCGACTCGAACGAACCGGCCGCCACGTGGTCCGCGGCCAGCTGCGAGTTTTTGGTCCAGGTGAGACGCGGGGAAGGTCCTGAAATGGGAAAAATACCAGGGTAGGATGATTAATACGAGAGTTTAATGTGGAATAAAATTAAGGTTAAGCGACCGTACTAAGAGGTTGACGTTTAATATTTACCTTGGGCGGGTAGATGAACGTAAGCGTCGGCGTTGTCGGCTTCTTGAGTCGGTCCCAAATCTGGAATCTCCAAATCGGCATCTCCCACGTCCCAGCCAGTTTCTCCGCCGTCGCCAGAGGCCGATACTGAGCCTTTTCTGCCATCTGCTATGACAACGACACGTGTCAATCAATATCGTCAATATTTATATGATTTTTCATAGTTTTATCAAATTAAATAAAACCATTAAAAATGGAATATTTTTAAAGATTGTACAGGGTGGGTCAAATTCGACGCTTTTAAATGAAAACACCCTTTTCTGTAGGAGATAGACAAAAACTAATATCGGTGTCTGGAGCTCAATTTTTGTCAAAAACATGATGGCGAAAACCGCATATCGATATCTGTTAACCGTTTCGGAGTTACGGGTATTTTTCAAAAATATGCATTTTTTAACAAATCGCTGTAACTCTTTTTGCCCTTATGCCGAAAATTTGGTATTTTTATAAAAACATTTCCAAAGCACTTTACGTTAGAATTTAATGCGGTTTAAGGTATAATTTTATTCTTAAAATTTAAGGTATTTTTTAAGAATTTATCAACAGGAAAATTTTGATTTTTTATTATACAATAAAAATAATTATATTTTAATTTATTTGAAAAATAATTTAAAATTACCTTTCCAAAATACCTCCTCAACATACTTTGATATTTTGCTCGCGATTCCTCTTCGAGTATATAAAAATTCGCCCGCCTTAAATAAGGTAGGCTTTGAACGGGCACCGGCTGTAATGCAAAAAAAAAAAAAAAAAAAAAAAAAATTAAATACATATATAATATAATATTTGCTATTGAAGAGATGCAGAATTTTTAACAATTTAAAAATATTTAACCAACATCAACAGTATCAACACATTTAAACTTATATCTAATAATCTAATAAATAAATATTTTTTTTTTATTTTATTAGATTTTGCTATAGGTGTTCAACATATCAACATAGTCTACTGTTATGGACAGACGATACAGTTTTTGAACATTTCCGCGGAATTCATTAACTCAGTAAGGGGTGAAAGATACCCTCTCCTAACTTCTACTCTCTCTCTCAAATTCTTGGTCTAGATTATACGAAGAAATAAGGAACCTTTTTCATTTTCGCCAAATATATCAATTATGGATTAGATCCATGGGCACTAAGTCAGGCGCCCTCAACGGCAAACGGCTGGGATCTTGGTTTAGCTATTCAAATATTCTTGAAATTGGCTGCAAAAATTTGCTAATAACTTCAGCGTTCTTCGAGAGCCGGTGCGATACCTCTTGCTGGGGAAAAAATATTGTTTTTCGCGGTTCCATTAGATGGCCTACTCCTCATCAATAAGGGGCGTCAAGGCCCCCCTACTAGTTAAAAGGGCGAACTTTTAAAATTCTTTAATTTCATCTCTCTCTAAAAATAAATCGAAGCTACAAAAATTCCTTGAGGAAAAGTTGCTTGTCCATTTGTTATGAACAACTTTCATACAGGTCAATTTGTTATAAAACAAACTTTTTGAAAACCACCCTAAAGAGCTCATGAAACGGCCGCTAAGTCCGGAAATAATAAACTTATAAAAATTAATTAGGCGAACTTATAGAGAATGTTCTCATGTACAATTTGCGTCTAATTATTTTGTTGTAGTAGTTTAAAAAAACACCCCTATCGCTCAAAAACCGCAAGGGGAAAATTTCCGATTTTGTTTATGTTACACTCAGAAGACAGTCGCTGACAAACTCTGAAAAAATCGGCTCGCCCGTAATTTTTTTTCACTCTCTATACGGCGATACAATTTTACTGGATTAACATACCGGTTTGCGATCGAGAAAAGTTCCGAGAGAAATAAGCAAACATAGAGCGGCGCCCTAACTCACCCTGCTGACAGTGAGGAGGGGCCAGTTGGATTCGGCCTGTTGAATGGGCGGCGGCGGTTTCAGGAACTTGGCCTTGATGTCGACATCGGGCAACTTCTTCTCGTCCCCTATTTGTTCTTTTAACTCTTGGGCCTCCTCGGTCAGTCCGTGAGTGGCCGCCGTCAAATACGCCAAAGACAACTGGTTGGTGGTTTTCAACACTTTCACTCGTTCCTCCAAGTCGCCTAAGACGACACACGCGTTATTCAATTATTCGCACGCACTTCACACGCATGCACCAAGTCAAAGTCGAAACATAATTTTGTTAGTCACTTATTTTAAAATAATAATAATTTAACTAAATTTTTAAAAAATTCTTTTAAATATTTTGTATTTGACAGCTCCCAGATGCGAGCTGTCAACTTTGGCTTGGTGCATTTGAAGTTGTTTTCAAAGCAGAAGTGAAGATTGCCACAAAAAGATTTTTTAAAACTCTAATATAAAAAAAATGTCGACAGGGTTGTTCACCACATACGACACGGAGTATTGTAGCTAAACGATGAGATTTTTACAAATTGTAAGTTTGGGGTTCGTTGAAGGACTATTAGAGCTACAATTTAAAAATATTTTTACAAGATACAGAGTGTGGAAATAAAATAAAAATATCAAAGTTGTATTTTTTAAAATGGAACTACCCTGTATATTATTATTTTAGTTTCTACGATTAAAATAAAGGTAAATTTGATTAAGGTTTATTATGTAATACTTACCGTTTTCAGAAATATTTTCAATTTTTTTTTTTTTTTTTTAAAATTTTAAAGCTTCATTTCTACAAGGTATCAATGTTTTTTAATACTAAATATTTAATGAAGTTTATTTATTGATCAGTTATTGTGTTGCAATAATAAAAATAAATACCTGTATACAGAGTGTCTAAAAATTTATTTTATATTAAAAATAGGAAACAACATTTTTTAGCTTCTTTAATTTAAATAGAATGCCCTGTATGTTTGGGAGAATCAGATGCACAATTAAATTGTGTCTATCAAATTGTATTATACCATTTTTACCTATCCTTCAAGTTTCGTAGAAAATGCATTTTCTTATAATTTAGACCCTCATTTATCCAATATATCCATGGAATATTGACATTTTAGATTGTTTTTTAAAGAGCAACAAATGTACAAGATGTACAGACTAGTAATATTATCGTTTTAGCAAAGTAATATTACTATGATTGTATGCAAAGAAACTATTTAAATCTTTATAAAAGTGCCACCATTAATTAAAATAACACCATTATTTCCTTATATACTAATTAATTACATAGTTAATTGTGTTCGTTAATAAATTATTATAAATAAATGTGGATTTGAATCCGAAATCAATATAATAATAAGTTATCAAATTAAGTCTCTGTTGGTATAAATAAGCATTTATTAAAAATGAAATATCATTTTTTAGGTGTTACTTTTTATCCACGCTGTCACAATACACATATAAAACTCAGTTTTTTGGTATTTGGAGCAATTATTATTAATCAACACCAAACAGTCCAGTTAATGGTTTGAATACTGGAATCGTATTAATTGGTCCTCTTGTAAAATATTTAAACAGTTTTATTTTATTTTTTAATGAAATAATATACGAATTATATCGACAATACATATGAGTATCTGTACTCTTTAAAATTTGTTTATCTTTAAAAATAATCTAAAATATCAATAGTCCATGGGTATATTGATAAATAAGTTCTAAATTACAAGAAAATGCCTTTTATACGGAAACTTAAAGGAGATGGGTAAAATGGGTATAATATAATTTGATAGACAGATTGATTGTGCATCTGATTCTCGTAAAATATACAGGTGTTCCCACATTAAATTAAACAAGTTAATACCGTTTGAGCTAATATAGAAAAATAAATTTTTAAGACACTCTATATAAAACAATATCATTTATTATTGCAACGCCTAACTTTGATCCAGTAAATAAACTTCGATATAAATCTTGGTATTACTGACCTATGAAACCTTAAAATTACCCAATTCTAAAATTAGTATTCAAAAAAAACAAGGTTAAGTATAAATCTTAAATTCCTGCTATTGTCGTAGAGAAACAAAGTGCAATAACTCTGGGGAGTGTTCCATTTAAAAAAATACAACTGATATTTTAGTTGACTGAGGACACTTTCTGGCAATCTTTCTAGTATTTTTAGTGGCCCTCTAGTCGCTTCATCGGAAGCAAACTTTAATTTATATCATCGTTCTATTACTCCATGTCATTATATTTCTTTCCTATGAATCCAACTTTATGGTGGATACTGTGTAAATGTTTATTATATTTAACTTAAATTTAATTATATTTTCACTGGAATGCAAAATAATGTGTTTTATCGAAAACCCATATTTGTATCTCTTTTAACTTGCGTTTTAGCCCAAACTAAAACGAAAATGTATAGGTATTGTACTTGTTTATATATATCAACCATAAAGTTGCCCAACCGACTAGACAAAATGCGCTGTCAACTGGAGGACAAATCGTGAACCTTTCAGGGCAGAGTCAAGAAATATCCCGATTATTTTCGTTATTTTTCCTCAGAGTAATGTAATATAGCCCGGGTTTCTACGAACTTTAATAGTGATCAGCTGATTAAGAAATTTAAACAGAAACTTTTATTTTGTGTAAATTGTGGATTATTTTTGCCTGTTATTTTAAAAATTCCTAAAACCAGTATTAACAAAGGAAATTATTATTTCGATATGTTGGTACATTATTTATAATTTCTGATAATGCTAATTGCACGGTAATTAATATTTAAAAAGTTACATACCTATTTTAATTTGATTTAATGCAGGTTTATAAAAGAATCATTTCATTTCTTAGATTATTTTATTCTAAATTGAATGCTTTACAGATTTTATGATATTTTTTGAAAACATGGAACTTTTACATTTTTGATGCCAACTAATTGGCATGGTATTATTGGTATGGAAATTAATAGAAAGAATTGGCTATAGCGGAATTTTTCGAAAAAAACATATTATACCTATATCGCTGAAAAGCTTAAAAATGGCGCTTTTTATGAAGTCATTACCAACTATGGTTTCCATTTAAAAAAACATAATGTTTGTGTCATATGTCAATATTGACGGGCTTTAAAGAAAAACAGAAAACACAAACTCATTAGGTATGTGATTATCTACAACTTTTATCTGAAAACTTTTTGTCTAAAATACCGTATGATCGAATAAAACGGCTTCAACGTGGCTATGAAATGACGATCAGTAATTAGCTATATAATTTACATAGGTATAAAATGACAGCGATTTCATAGCCATCGTTGACGCCGTTTTTATTCGATCATACGGTAGATTATTTAACTAATTAATTATTATCATTTAACCTTAGCATTTAACCGACTCTCTATCTCCAGTAGTTTCCGAGATACCCATAGAGAACATCGTAGGAAACTCACCCTGTATAGTATTTAGAAAATAACTATTATTATTATTTGACTAGATTAATTTGATTAATAAAACTCGATTAATTTAATTTAAAATAGAATTTGAATAGATTTTTCCATTATATTCTACTACCAAGAAACCAAAATTATATGATAACGCACTTTTCAACGGAGTTGAAGGAAGATATAGAGTATCTATCACAATACTTAATAAAATTACTACAATTAGAGAAAACAAAAGAAAAAATACCCAAATACACCAAACTACTTCACCTACTACTCATCTACAAAATAAGCTAATATAATCTCTTATAAAACACTACACAACTACTTCTTCACTACTTCAGCCACTTCTACACTGAAAAAATTATCAAACTTACTAATTAATCAAACAAAAAACCAAATTATCCTTTCGCCTACTACTTAACTGCAAAGATAATAAATATAAAAACACTACTAAACTATTTCTGGTATTCTACACTAAACATTTATAATTAAACTTAATAAAATTAATCTAATTTTTTTTTTTTTTATTTATTTTATTAAGAACATTTTTTAAAACTAGAAAAACAGAACCTCGATACGTGCAGCCAATTATAATAGATCAGGGGGACAAAGATATAAAATACTTTAAAAAAAAAAAAAAAAAAAAAAAATATCTCGAAAATTATCTAAACAAACATTTTTTTTCTTATCGGTAAAAACATCGACCTTGTCGGCCTTGCGGAATTTGTCGGGTATTTACAATGGTCGGATTGTATAATTACCAGCTTTTATATCATATCTAATAGACAAAAATTATCTGGTCGATTAGTAACCAATTGGCACAGTCCGAAAATTATCGATTTTTATTTTCCCTGTTTTTATTGGCCGCTTCAAAATTCAGAGTAACAAAAAATATTTTTCTCTAGTAAAAGACTGTGAAATACGCCCCGCCATCTGGTGCTTTACATCCATAAACGTCTTAGGTTGAGCTACTTTAAAAATTCATATACAAGGATAATAACAAAAAATAATGTTAACAAAATGGTGAATGCAGCAAAACATTTTCAAATAATATTTTAAAAAATGTTGACAAAATGGTGAATGCGCTAGGTGGGAAAGGACTAACAGACACATCAAAATTAAAAAAAAAAAATTCTTACCAAGTAAAAGGGCTCCGTGATACTGAGAAGACCTTGCTTTCCTTATTTCCGCTATTTTAGTCATTTTTCTCAGCTTGTCCAAGTTTCCCGTTATCAGATACAAGAACGACAGTTTTTCGAAGCTCTTGGTTCTCTGGTAACACATTTCCACCACTTGATGATTACCCTGTATATAAAAAAAAAGAAAAAAAATAGCACATAATCACACTGTACTTCTGTGATCAAACTGGAATCAAAATACTTTACCTGCCACAAGGCAGCTTGGGCTAACTTGTCCCAACACGCTTTATCGTTCAAAGATTTGGCCGCTTCCAGAGCAATTTCTATATTTCCGCATTCCAGGGCCAGAGTGAACCTGGTCTTGTCGTCTTTGACGAAGTGCAGGGCCACCTCGGGGTACCCTTTCTGCTGCAGGTACGAAATGATCGACTGGCCGACCAATCGCGATTTTTGAACCATGTAAAGAACCTAAAAATTATTTTTTACCAATCTGAATAACTTTTAGAACAATTTACCTCTTCGTATCTATGATTTATTAGGGCCAATTTAAATTTATACTCTGTAGGATCGACCGTGAGTATCCTGGGCTTACATTCACGATCCAAACAGAATACTTGGCTGCCTTTCACCCTCGTTATATAAATTGGTAAGTCTAATGTACGAATAATGCCGTGATCTCTGCAAAGTGATAATATTAAATGTTGCTTAAAATTACTAGACCTAAAGTGTTGAAATTAAAAAAAAAAAAAAAAAAAAAAAATTGGTACTTGCCCATTTGTCAAGGTATATTTAATATGATTGCTGGTGGTATAAATAAACACACCCGAGTCATCCCAGGCTCCAGATTTGACCCTGGTATTCTCATGGATAGAACATAATATTTCCAGTTTTCTATTGCACACAGTTACCGTGTGTTTGGCCAGTAAAGCAATGTAAGCCATATCGTTCGACCAAACAACATATCTACATTTATTGATTTTTACTACAAAAATTGTTTTTAAATTATTACAAACTGAATTATATTTTTTTTTGGTACTGACCTTGTGCAAGAGTCCTTTTTTGTTGAACGTCAAAGAGCGTTACATTTTCTGTATCCCTCAACAATAGCATGCCTGTACCAGCATAGAACACTTCATCACATGAAGGAGTCTGCACTTTTTTGGTCACCTCATTTTTCAAATTCTTTATCACCAATTGATGGCCTCTATCCAACACAGCAAATCTAAAATTTAAACACTGTAGAATTACGTATGTCTAAAAATTTATTCCAATAATTCTAACCTATTTCTTGCCACCCATAGTGCAGTAAGTCCACTGGATCTCTTACTTTCAACTTCGGGCACGTGATCTTCTCTTTCTGGATCTTTGGGGATCACATACAGATCATAAACACTATTATCTAAGTTTGAGGTGCGGGTAAAGAGAAGAACAGCATTCTCGGCTGGGTTAAACGACATACCATAAACCGGAACCTTTCCACCACCTAATAATAAAAACTCTTTAAACAAAATACAATTAAAATCATTACTAAAATACCTTTAATCTGAATGACGGGCACATCTTTAGCTGTGGTAAAATCCAGCCTCCTTAAATACCTTTCTTTGACATAGTACAACAGATTTCCGTGGACGGTATATGCTGGTCTTTCTCTTTCTAGCTTAAAGATAATCATACCACCATCATGCCCAGCAGCAAAGAGATTTAGGTTGGGATGGGAACTCATAACCCAGAATCTTTCATGTTCTCTATAAAAAAATATAAATAAATTGCCAAAGTAATAGTTAAATGTAATTTATTACCTTCTAAATGTGTGCAAACATGTTCTTTTTTGCATACACCACACTCTAATACTCTTATCTTCACTGTTAGAGAGGATTAGTTCTTGTTTAGGATGAAACAGGACGCAGGACACATTGTTGTAATGTCCACGACAAGTATCAACTTCCCAAGCTTTGGAATCATTCATTCTCCATAGTTTTACTTGACGGTCGTCAGCTCCAGATACTTAGAAACAAATTAAATAAAAAACTATAAATAAAATGCTAATATTTGCTTACCAATTAATGGCAAAGTGTGATGAAACGTCGCCCAATTCACTCCTCTATCATGCCCTTCCAAAACATGTTTTACTACAGCATCAGACACTCCAAACAGATCAGTTGCTCCAGGATTCTTCAAGTGGTCTTCCAAGCCGGCTGGCCCAGGAGCAACATTCTTTTTTCGCAAACCGGATATATCCCAAACTCTAACAGTGGAATCAAGACTGGCAGAAACTAGCAAATCTTCACTAGGATGAAATATTGCGCTCATCACATAATGGTTATGACCGGTTAAAACACAAATGCACGTTCTGCTCTGCCAGTTCCATATCCTAATTGTTTGATCGTCTGATGCAGAGACAATCCAAGGGTACTCATGATGAAATAGTGTTGTTCTGATGTAGTCCAAGTGGCCTAACAGTGTGAATATGCATCGTTTTTGCTTGTAATTCCATACCTATAAAGATGTTTGTGTATAATGCTAGGAATTAAAGGGGTATTGTAAGAGGAAACCTTGATTTTATAGTCGTCACCACCAGATACAAAAAGGGGCTGTTGACTATGGAAGCAAATGCCTCGAACTGGACCGTCGTGCTCGTCGAACTTCTCCAGCAAGGTGCACATTCGGTAATCCCATAATTGAATGCATCCGTTGTGAAGACTAGCCAAAATCCACGGTCTTTTGGGGTGGAAGGACAAGCCCTTTACTCGAGCTGACTTGGTTTCGAACTTGGTCAGCATAATTACTGTCCTATAATTTTCGCCGTATTTGTTTAGTAAATTTAAAATTCACCTTTTTTACTTAACGAGCCAAGCAATTGTAGTATTTAAGTTTTAAATTGAATTATTTTCATGTTTTGCCAACAAGACCGCTTTTGAGTAGACGTGGCTGTCAGCTGTCAGGAATGTGTCACTGTCGAACACAGCTGTCGAACACCTGTCGAACACAAGTCATTACAAGTGTCAAACTTTTACCACAGAGCAATCTGTTTCTACCACGGATTTTAACTTGGCAATGTTTATTTGGTTGCCTACCTATTTCTATTTTAGACTACCAAATATTTTCTTGTCTCAGTCTTTATATCAGTTTATTAAGCTGTCTCGTTGAAAATTAAATAATATGATATGTCTGCTTTACCTCTGCTTGAAATTTGTATCAAAAATTAAAATGAAAATTAAATTTTATTTTTTTTATTTATTTATCAGTGACCAACTTCAGGTTAATTGCCATCAAACAAACTTCAATAATGATAATTACGTCATGTTTTTGCCACTTTACTGTCTTTGTTTTCATCAAGTATAAGAGAGAATTCGATATGTTGTGATAAATGCCATTCAAGTTTTTTAAAATTTACTATTTAGTTTTCCACATTTTCAACAATTTCTCATGTGTATTTGTTATTGTAAAATTAGGAGAAGCAAAGAAGTTGCCCATGTAAGTACACCAAAATTGTTTTTCTACTCTGTGATGCATATGTTAATAATTTCTTTAACTGTTTTACCAAGTTACCTAGCTAATTGACCACATATAACGTTGTAATAAGGTGAATTAATTATAGCCTAATTATTATATGATTGGTAAAAGGTTTAATTAGCAATTTCGACTCTATACCTAACGAAATTTTATCCCAAATAGTCATTAGCATATTAGGTGGACCTATATCACTTAAATCGTCATCAAAATTAATGTTTAGGCAGCCGAAATTATCAGAAATTTGATTAGATTTAAGCTGTACTGACGGAATTTTTGAAATACCTAATAGAAAGTGAAACATTCTAAAAGAGGTGATAATTTTATGTGTCTAGAATTTGTTGTTTGTCTTCATTTAAAACATGACTAAGCAACTCGATCATATTTAGCATGTTTCTAACGAATTTGAATGAATCTATTAATTATTTTTAGTCAATGCTAGACAACAAGAATCGTTTGCCAGAGGATATTAAAACTGTAAAATTGTGGCGAATCCTACCAGGTGAATTACTTTCGGCAATGTAAACCTTACGTATATGCGTGATAAGAAGGTCTAAATTCCAGCATGTTTAGCGAATAGATTTACGTATATAGTACACTTTAGAAAAGTAACTTGTCATGCCTTCCAGTGGCGTACCACCGAGGAATATATTAGAATCACAAATTATTTCTTTCCGATTTTTAAATCACATTTTTTGCAATTATTCGCCATCGAACAATTGACATTGTTCTTATCTTGTTCTAATCAGACTTTTTATCTATTTTTAACTAGGTATTAATAAAGTATACTTAACTTTAAACAAGGTATTTAGTAAGTTAAAGTCGCGAATATTTCACATACCTTTTGATTTATTATTTATTAAACAGTATAGGATTTTTGGCTCAACTTGTACACTAATTTATATATATACTTTTTAAAAAAAAATTACAGTTTTTTCTACTCACGGTATAACAACAAATGTATACCAATTTGATTATTTTTAATAGAAACACTTAAAGACTTTTTGCAAATTTTATTAAAACTGGTTTGCCTATCCTTGACCTACGCTACTGGAAACAGCGAAGGCTACTTTAAGTGCTAGCGAAAAAAAAACGATATATTTTATATATAATTTTCTGCTAGTCATCTGGTATAATAAATGTTTGTACCAGCACAGGAGATTGACTGGTCGGTGGTATAGGTTAATAATTTTTAGATCCTCAACAACTCTGAACGCTTCGCAGAATGAACCACTTTTTTGCGAATACAATTCTTTGGAATCACTTCGATGGTAGAAAATTCCCCAGTCCGTAGATAATATATACGTACACATACATACCTTATTGTTCTTGATATTTGATATTTCTAGATTATCTCATACTATATAATTACTTGCATTTTTTAAATATCTATAGCAACTTCGAAATCCTTGATATTTCGTAGTCTTTTTCTTTAAAATTCAAGTATTTGGCAATATTTAATGGTCCAATATACTAATATACGTTTTTTTTTATTAATATCAGCAATCAGTCTCTTTAAAAGATTAAAATTTTAACAGAATAATGCCTTGTTTATATTTTTTTCCCTTGTTTTATCATCTGTCGCATATATAGGATGGCCAAGTGTTCTGAAAAAGCTCCATATCTGTTTTTCTATTTGAGATTTTCACTCGTAAAAATGTAGGATGATTTAAACATATTTTTGCACAAAAGTTATCATTTTTTTTATCGAAATGAAACCATTTTTTGAATCATCAATTGAAAAGAAAGTTTTAAAATAGCGAATTCGTTGTAAGTTTCAATTAAATATTTCTTTTTAATAGTGTCGTTTTGAAGATACGGTATTTTTGTAATGGGAATTTTATAGTAGGTACCTCCTGAAAAAATACCCTGTATTTTCCGCATTTTCAACAAAAAAGATTGGATTGAAATCCCAATTAGAAAATTTGATTCACCGTGCATATAATCTTTCTGAATAAAATTGTTTTTTTATATTCTCGTTTTGGCAGTACATAAAACCAAATTCGGTGTGAGGAAAATTATTTTTTGGATTATTTTGATTGATAAATAAATATATATACGTCGATGTTAAACAATTTGTGAAAGTCATCACACGTTGTAGAATAATTGTATTGGTTTCGCGGAGCGTTCATTCGTAATCAAACTGTTGAATTGTGAGGGTTTTTGTGTCTTAATATGTTCCTGTAGTGTGTATATTCTTTTTAAATTAACCTGTGAGCCATGGGTCTGCTCAAAATACCCCTATCTCTGTAAGTAGATTAATTTCAACTTTGTTTATTCGAGAAATATATAAGCTTTTTCAAGTTCAATTAATTAAATATGTAGTTTACATTAGCGTAACTCTGGGGGGCTTGGGGATGAGCCCAGGGGAGGCCTAGGGCTTTTGTTTTTTAAAAAATGAAGAATAATTAAAAAAAACACATGAATATACTCTATCAATAAATTTCATAGACTTGGTTATCAAATCCGTGTTCCCGTAGATTAAGTACCTAGAAATTTTGTAAAAAAAATTGAACACATCAAAATAATATTAACTAAACAAAACTAGAAAACCTCATTTTTACTACATCACAAGCAAATAAAAATTAATCCGTAGCCAAGTGTCATAATTCAAGATTTGTCTTGGGGGTGCCCCTCAGTAATGGGGGGGGGCACCCCCGGGCACCCTTGTAGTTACTCCAATGGTAGTTTAGCAAAATTATACTCAACAAATTCTACTATACAAGGTAAATTTAATAGCTTGTACAATAGAAAACCGAGTTTTTATTAATGATATTTTTTATCTTTCCGAAAAATATAAGTACGTTACACGGCAAAATTCGTTTGGAATTATGTATTAGACAAATATTTAATCGTTTTAATGAGTTGGTATATTATTCAATGATTTGATGTACCTACGAAGTCGTTCCGTATACGGATATGAGGCAAATTTACGATTTTCTTGTTACTAATTAGAACAAAAAACCAAACGAATAAATTAAACTAATCGTCCGGTTATACAAGGTGTCTTTAAAATTAGTGCAAGTATTGTAAGTAGTGCACTCATCGTCAAGAAAAACGGGCACTAAAATACGAACTTAAAATTTTGATGTATTTTAAATTTTAATATAATTTTTTCTAGGAGGCCGATTTTGATGATTTTTTAAGCAATATGTAGCTATATTATTTGGTATCCCTTTCTAAATTAGAAATGAATGTTTTCATGTGTCTCATGTTTGTTCATTGTCAAAATGTTGTTATTTTGGAGAAAGTTTGAAACACCGGCGGCATGAGTTTAATGTACAAATTACAAAAAAAATGTTAGTGTCTTCTTCAAAAGCGAATATCTTCAACAAAAACAAAGCTATTAAGATGAACTAAAAAACAAATTATCGAGAAAGGGTGCATCTAGATGATAAGATTTATAAATTGTTTGCTGTCTTAACATATTTTACAGGGTGTTTCCTTTTTTCAAAATATCAACATTTTGTTGCCCCTCGTATAATTAACTTTCATTTTTAATTTAGAACTAAGAAGTCAGATAATTTAGCTACAGATTGTTTAAAACATCATCAAAATCGGCCCACCAGAACAAAATATATTAAATTTAAAATACCTACGTCAAAATGTTAAGTTGAATGTAACGTTGCAGTTTATTTAATGTTTTGTAGCGAATTTAATGTTTTTTTCTGGGTCTCTGGTAGATTGATAATGGAGGGAGACGAAGACTCGACGGGCTACAGCAGCTGGAGCAAGCCGGCATCTGGTTGCGCCAGGAGCGCAGGTAGCCAAAGCAGCGCTACAAGCGATTTCGTCGACATGAGTTTTATGATGATCGACTATATCAAAGATGCCATGAAGGTAATTTTTTTATAATTGATTCTTTTTAATATTTTATGTAAATAAAATAACTAGAACTGCTAACCTATGTATAAGTGGAATTAATGAAATACTTGTAACTTTCTGTGTTGCTTAACTATGAATGATTTATTTTTATCAAATAGTTACTAAATAAAAGAGACCATTATTATTATTATTATTATTTATTTGTTTTTTTTTAATAATTTCTAATTATTCCTGAATCATATCTAATATAAAGCAGTTCTACATCCTAGGCTATGGACATGATGCGCAGTCATCAAATGCTGACAGATGTCACGCTGGAAGTGGGCTCCGAGTGTTACCACGCCCACAGGGTGGTGTTGGCAGCTGCCAGCCCTTATTTCAAGGTAATAATTCTTAATTTTGTACTGGGTATTATATTACAGAAGATTTATTTTTTTAGGCCATGTTTACAGGAGGTTTGAAGGAGTGCGAAATGAGCCGCGTGAAATTGCAAGGTATTTCCCCCACAGCCATGCACAAACTGATCAATTTCATGTACAAGGGCCGTATAACGGTGACAGATAACACGGTCTGTCAGTTGTTACCGGCGGCAACAATGTTACAGGTAAATTAAAACAATACGAGTGTGTTTAATTATGAAAATATGACGTTTTAAAGTATCTTTTGTTTGTTTTCTAGGTACCGAATGTTATTCAAGCCTGCTGTGACTTCCTAGAAAGACAACTGGATCCCAGCAACGCCATCGGCATAGCTCACTTTGCCGAACAACACGGCTGTTTAGAACTGTCAAAAAAAGCCAACCAGTACATCGAGAGGCGCTTTGTTCAGGTACTTATAATAATTACATTTTTCTTGTATACATATGTCGGTTCAAAATAAACGAATGTTTATGTCTACTATGATTCTTCCTTTTAGATTTGCCAAGAGGAGGAATTTTTGCAACTCAACGGTCATCAGCTGATTCAGTTGATCAGAAAGGACGAGTTGAACGTGCAGGACGAACAAGACGTCTACAATGCCGTACTCAAGTGGGTTAAATACGACGAGAACAACAGGCACGGCAAAATGCAGGATATCTTGGCCGCCGTCAGATGTCAGTTTTTACCGCCGAAATTTTTAAACGATCAAATCCACAAGTGCGACGTTATCAAGAAAACGCCAGAGTGCAAAGAATATTTAGCAAAAATTTTTAAGGTATGTAGTTACTTAATTTTTTTTAGTTTATTTTTATTTTCAGTACATTTATTGTTGTGAGTATAGTCTGTTCAACTAGACAAGCGACGATTATATCCAAAAATTGACATATGAAAACATTTTATCTTTGAATTAAAGTGACAGACCATAGACAAACTAACAAAAGCAAGACGCGTCAACGCTGTACTGCAAAACGGCAACAAGTTTGATAAGAGTTTATTACCGCGCTTGCGTCAACTGGCCTTTTAGACGAGGACGGTTTACTTATGGATTGTGTATTTTGTAGTAGTCTTTTAGACGAGAATGTTTTACTTATGGATTGGTAAAATTAACAAAATCGGACATTTTCCCCTTGCGGTTTTTGAGCAATAGGGGTGTTTTTTTTAAACTGTACTACAACAAAATAATTAGACGCAAATTGTACCATAGAACATTCGCCTCATAAGTTCGCCGAATGAATTGTTTTTATAAGTTTACCGGACTTCTACCGTGGTTTTCAAAAAGTTTGTTTTACAGTAAATTGACCTGTATGAAAGTTGTTTATAATAAATGGACAAGCAACTTTTCCTCTTGAATTTTTTTTGTAGCTTGATTATTTTTGGAGATAGCGTCCAGTTCATGAACTGGAACTGGTAGTTTTCAATGTTACTCTTTTTTCAGCAAATTCACCCTAGGAAACTCGTTCGAAAGAAAATATACCTTTGCCTTATAAACTTTTTTTGTAACTTGACTATTTTTGAAGCCAACGCCAGATCCATCACACAAAACAAGACGATACTAATAAAAAAAATTATAATAATCGTTCACTTGATGAATTCCATGTTTCGTTTTGTGGAAATAAATACATATCATAGGGAAGTTTACGTATAATTTTAATATCTACACCTTTAAGTTGGTAAATTTGTAGAACTAAACAAAAATTATGAAACTACCCCAATTTGTTCATGAACTGGACGCTATCTCCAAAAATAATGAAGCTACAAAAAAATCATGAGGAAAAGTTGCTTGTCCATTTATTATGAACAACTTTCATAAGGGTCAATTTGCTGTAAAACAAACTTTTTGAAAACCACCCCAAAGGGCTCATGAAACGGCCGCTAAGTCCGGAAATAATAAACTTATAAAAAAAATAATTAGTCGAGCTTATAGAGAATGTTCTTTTTGCGTCTAATTATTTTGTTGTAGTACTCACAAAAACCACCCCTATTGCTCAAAGACCGCAAGGGGAAAATTTCCGATTTTGTTTATTTTACACTCAGAAGACAGTCGCTGACAAACTCTGAAAAAATCCAGCTTGCCCGTAATTTTTTTTTCAAATGACAATTTTATTGGATAAACAAGTAATCGTTAAATTCCTTTCGATATTTCTTTAGGACTTGACGTTACACGTGAGAACGGCCGTGAAAGAACGTACCCCCGACATCCCGCGCGTCATCTACGTGGCCGGCGGGTACTACAAGCAGTCCCTGGACATCCTGGAGGGTTTCAACATCGACAACAAGACGTGGATCAAGCTGGACCGGCTCATAGTGCCCCGCTCAGGGTTGGGCTGCGCCTTTCTCAAGGGCCATTTCTACGCGGTCGGCGGCAGAAACAACACGCCGGGCAACAGCTACGATTCCGACTGGGTGGACAGGTACAACCCTTTGTTGGACGAGTGGATGCCCTGTCACCCCATGTCCTGTCCGAGGAATAGGGTGGGGGTGGCCGTTATGGACGGATTACTGTACGCCGTGGGAGGTGGGGAGTGTACCAAGTACCATAACAGCGTGGAGTGGTAAGTAAGGTTTCTGTATTATTAGTTTTTGTAAGGGGGGTGTTCTTTGATCTGTCCAATTTTGGCATTGATAAAAAAATACATGCTTTTTCTTTTTCCTTTGAATCAGTACAGAAAAATACATCTAGATTTCCCTCATCCTGTAATATAGTGTGTTTTAATATGGTGGTCCGAATTGTATTTGGAAAACTTCTGCAGACAAAAATAAGTAAAAAAGTTTGTATAAATGTATGTCCTAAAATGCTTAATTTCGGAGATACAGGGTGTAGAAGTTTCATTCAGAAAAACCCGAAATAAAAATGAAACTTCTACACCTTGTATCTCTGAAAGAAGCATTTTAGGACATATATTTATAAATAGTTTTTACTTACTTTTATCTGCCGAATCTACTGCCGGGGTTCCCGGATACAATTTGGACCACCCTGTATAGTATTCTTAATTTTGAAACGGACCAACTTATTATAAAAATATTTGTGTTTTAAAATCCTGCTTAAATATCTGGCCACCCTGTATACAACAGCATCTGAAAGAAAAACTATTAAAAAAATAGTTCTAACAGATAATTTTCAAAAAGAAAATAATATAATTATTGATAGTATTAAAAATAACAGTTTGTATAAAAGAATTTTTGTTTTTTTACTGTAACTTCTTGTCACTGTTGGTTAGTTTGTTAGTTTTAGGAGTTGTCTTTGTCGAAAATGCTTATTGCACTGTTTTTTTCTGTTAGTTACGACCCCGAAATGGACAAGTGGACGATAGTCAAGCCGATGCACTATCCTCGACTGGCGGTAGGCGTGGCAGTTGTCAACAGGCTGCTGTACGCCATCGGTGGCTTCGACGGTACCATCAGGCACTGTTCTGCCGAGTGTTACCATCCGGAAAACGACGAATGGACCATGATACCACCCATGCACACTGAACGTAGCGGGGCAGGTATTCATTTATATTTTTTCCCTTTTAATTTCTTTATCTAACAAAATAACAATAAATCTCGTTTGTAGTAAACTTTTTTGGTTCTTCCTGTATCAATAACTAGGTTAATTATTTTTTCTTTACGAATGTAGGCGTGTGTGCGATGGACAAATACATTTACGTGATAGGCGGTTACAATGGTAGACAGTTGAACACTGTGGAAAGGTACGACACTGAGCATCAAGTGTGGGAGTTTCTGTCAAGTATGAAGATTTCCAGAAGCGCACTTAGTGTCACAGTGTTGGATGGCAGGATATATGCTATGGGTAAGAAAAGCTTCCTTAAGAAAGTACTTGTTTCTTTTTTTTGGTTTATTTTTAATTGTTTTTTTTTGTGAGATTGTTTATTATTAATCATAGGAAATAAAATTGTTATAATTAATTTTCTAGGTGGGTATGATGGGCAACAATTTCTCAACGACGTTGAAATATACGACCCAACAATAGACACATGGTCAGAAGGAACGCCTCTCACATCAGGTTAGTTTTTTTCTTCATATTTTAGCTTTTTTTTCAGTTTGTTAGTTTTTTTTTCTTCACTTTTTTATCTTTAGTTACTAGCTTTTGTTATTTTTTTTCTTTCCATTTTTCAGAATGTTTCATTCAGTGGCGATGCTGTTAGAAATCATTTAAATACAATTTCAAAGAAATAATATTTTGTAGTATGATAATTTTTGTGCTAAGCACTTTACTAATGTTTGGACGGATTTTTTTTTCTTGCAAAAAATATTGCATCCTGATAAAAATTAAAAAAAAAGTTAACAAATTTAGTAAAATAAAATTACACTAAATCACCACAATACACCAAAACACTTTTACTTTTACACTGGACGCGCGTTTCGTTAACCATGTTAGCATCATCAGCAGATGATTATAAACTAAAGTACAATCTACAAGTTGAGCGTTTATATACTCGCCCAGTAGGTACCGAGTGGGCGGGGCAAAATCTAGCCAACCGAGTCAGAGCCAACTAAGTGTAACAGTTAATTTCCGCCACTAGAGTAGTAGGAACAAAGAACTTGAAGGAATTGGACCGTTGACTCTGTTCATACTATCTTTACATTTATTAATTCTGATGCTTTCATATGCATCTAATTGCCTGTAATTTGAGACTTGTTTAATTAATTTTAAATTATTAAGATCTATACAATGTTCTTTATGAACAATATGTTCGGCAACGCAAGATTTATCCGGTTTACCATATCTTATCTGAGCTAAATGTTCTTTAAATCTAGTTAATATTGATTTTCTAGTTTGCCCAACATATTTCTGATTACAATCTTTACAAGAAATTTCATAAATACCCGACCTTTCCAGTGGAGGTGTTTTATCCTTTGGATTACCTAATAATTGTTGTAATTTATTATTAGCACTATACACAAGTTTATAATTTACATTCTTCAAAATTCCTTTTAGACCACGGGATAACTCTCTATCAAACGGCATCGAAAAATATTTAGACGTGTCTTTCTCCACTTGAAAAGTCGAATTTTCAGAAATCATTAACCTATACCTACGTTTTCTAATTAATTTATCAACTAGTGAAGGAGAATATCCATTACACTCAGCTACATTCCTAATGTAATCTCTTTCTATTTCATATCTTTCTTTGGAAAGTGGGAAACTAAGTTATCTATGAACTAGGAAATTTAAACTAGCCATTTTATGTTCAACACTATGATGTGATTCATTAGGAATATATCTGCGTGTGGTCGTATTTTTCCTATAGATATTAAATTCCAGGCAATTATTAATATTTCTAATAACTCATACATCTAGAAATGGTAATCTGTCGTTGTTCTCAATTTCATGCGTAAATTTAATGGAAGGAAACGATTATTTAACTTAGAAATAAAATTATCTATGATGTCTGATGTGTGTCAAAAACAGCAAAAAAATATCATCCACATACCTAAACCATACTCTTGGAAAATACTCAAACTGATTCTTAGCCTCCACTTCAAACCTTCTCATGAATAAATTAGCCAAAAATGGAGACAATGGATTACCCATTGCTGTACCTTCCCGCTGTTCAAAAAAGTTGTTATTAAACTGAAAACAATTTTGTTTCATACATAACGATGTAAGCTCAATATATTCAATCACAGTTTTGTTGTCAGGACCATTTGCGTTCAGTAATTCCTTCAAGTAGCCCAAAGTATGTGGAATTGGAACACTTGGGAACAACGAAGATACATCAAAGGAGACCAAAATTTCACCTTCATGCAATGTTATATCTTTAATTTTGTTAATGAATTTAATATTATTTTTAACTGAGAAAGAAGGTTCATGAACAGGTAAATTTTCGAACTCCCTTGATAACCATTTTGCCAAATTATAAGTCGGAGAACCTACAGCCGAAACAATTGGGCGCACAGACTTGTCCGGTTTATGAATTTTTGGCAAAGCATACAATTTTGGTAATGAGGGATTGGATACTTGCAATTTCCTCTTTAAAGAAAGAATCAATAAATAATTAGTAACAAGCACATAGTTTTTGTAAAACTGTTAGTGTTAGCAGAATTTTTATAGAAGCTCTAATAATAGACGTTTTTTTACGGGTTTTTAAAGGTAAAAATCTATCTAAATTAGGTTATTCACATGTAAATTCCTTGCTCTTTTGACATATTCTACAGGGCGTTTCCCTGTTGCAGGTCGTTCAGGGCACGCGAGCGCAGTCTGTTATAATTGCGGCGGTCAAGATAGAGGAGGCCTGGCCATGGAGACGGATTCCGGTCTGAGTTGTACCGCAGCACCGGTACTTCCCTGTAACCCCTCCACGTCGAACGGATAGAACAGTGACTCGATGACGGGTGATGACGTTTCACCTAGAGCACAACCACAAAAAATCGAAAAGTCCCTCCAGGAAGGAAATCGTGGATAGTCGCTGCGTGGGGGAAGTACAGAAAAACGAAGATTCCCAGGGAGGATCTTTGGTAAAAAGCTAGTTGTCTGTGATAGAATGACGTTTGCGTTTGGTTATTTGTTTTTTTTGTGGCAACGATATACGGTATGTCCCCGGACTGTTTAAAAGAGGAAAACCGTTTTTATGACCTAAAGACAATTCGGGGACATACTTTAGAGGTTTCAGTAATTTAAAAAACGTTGCATTTAGGACGTAGTAACACGTGACAATCGTACGGAGTCCAACAAAAAACCTGTGATCTGAATTATTAGGATTTGTTTTTTTTTAAATACTTTTTACTGTATCGAAATCTAACAATAAAGGAAAACATTCCGAAGGAAAAGACTCAAAATAGGTTTCGTGTAAGTTCTGGTAACGGCGTCAATTTTAGTTAGGTTATAAATAGATACAGTGTGATCAATAAAAACGTCAAAAACAATCTACAAACTTTTAGTTGATATTTTTTGCGTACAGTGTGCTCAGCTGAAGAATATACGATGTGATAATTGTATTTAATTTTCGGTGATAAAATTAAAAAACTTAATAAAAAGAAAAAAATCTTTTCCCTGCCTTTCCATCATACATTTTTTGTTTCTTCTGTTTAAATTTTGAGTTCTACCCAAAATAAATATTATTATTAAAATAGCCAAACATAGTGATATAAATGCAAATATCGTTTTTACAAGATTATTTCATAGTTAACAGCATTTTTAGCCTGTAAAAAAACTATTTTTTACAGATTTTTTTTTCTTTTAGATGCCCGTCCATAGTTTTTTTTAATTCAAAAAGTATTGATTTTTCTGTCATTTTTATGATTGTTTGGTTATAAAGATATATTCTCTCGCAGGACATACTATATATACTCCTATTTATATTGGTCACACTATCGTCGATACACTGTTAGTAATGCAAATGCTAAAAAAAAAATAAAATGAAATAATTTTCGTTTAAAATAATACTATTTGGCTTTTAAATAAACTACGCAAACTTTTTGAAAATAAAAATGGTAAAAAGTACTCATTAAAATAGTGATTAAAATTTTGTTGTATTACTAACGGCGATTTTTCAATACCCTAATAAGTTAAAATCAATTATTTTATTCTAAGAAAATACCAGTTTTGTACATATTATAATTAATATACAATAATATAGGATAAAACAAGGACAGGAGTTTATTACAATAAATAAACTATTAAAAAAGTGTTTTTTTTCTAGTTTTTTGTAAGCTATGTTATCTGAGATAACAAATAAGAATTTGTACAGTTTATAGTAAAGTCTTTTTTGGACTGCCCTCTTTTTTTTGTATAATTGTATAATTTATTATCCAGAAGTGTGCTATGGTACATTATTTTTTATCTAGAACTACTTTACAGTGAATTTATTACACTTGGAATAATATACAGCTTTTTTCATAGAACACAAATTTATTTTAAAAAAGAACATTCCTTTAGATTTAATAGAACTTACAAATATTCTGAAATAATCTGATTTAGAAAAAAATTCGTAGTTCTAGATAAAAAATTGTTACTTTTTTTAGTTATTTAACGCATTTATTTATTGATCTACTAGTGCCATCGTATTTTATCTCACACGATAAAAAGATGCATATCTTCCATTAATTTTAAGTAATTATTCTAGTGTATAGTTTGTTTAGGCTATTGTGACGGTTTTTTTCTGTAAATCTGTGTTTATTTCGATTTTGATGTTGATCTGTCGAAGGTTTTTTAGTATCCAGTATTTTTTATGTCAATAAATAAATCATTCCAAATGAATATATTTTGAAGTTTTTTTTATTTCCTCGACCCTTTTAGAACTAGAATGTAGAATGAGTGGGAGGGGGTTAATAATCTGGTGATCAATAAATCAATAAACCAATAAATCAATAAATTATTTATTGTCAAATCAATAAATCGAGAGAGAGAGATTAATAAATCAATAAATCGATAGAAAGAGAGAGAATCGAAGAGAAAGAGAGAGAAAGAGAGCGAGAGAGAAAGAGAAAGAAAGAGGATAGAGATAGAGAGAGAGAGAGAAAGAGAGACAGATTAATAAATCAATAAATAGAGAGAGAGAGAGAGAGAGATTAATAAATCAATAAATCGATAGAAAGAGAGAGAAAGAGAGCGAGAGAGAAAGAGAAAAAAGGGGATAGAGATAGAGAGAGAGAGAGAGAGATAAATCGATAAATCGATAAATCAATAAATCAATAAATCAATAAATCAATAAATCGATAAATCGATAAATCGACAAATCGATAAATCGATAAATCAATAAATCAATAAATCAAAAATCAATAAATCGATAAACCAATAAATCAATAAATCGATAAATCGATAAATCGATAAATCGATAAATCGATAAATCGATAAATCGATAAATCAATAAATCGACAAATCGACAAATCGACAAATCGATAAATCGATAAATCGATAAATCAATAAATCAAAAATCAATAAATCGATAAACCAATAAATCGATCAATCGATAAATCGATAAATCGATAGATCGATAAATCGATAAATCGATAAATCGATAAATCCATAAATCGATAAATCGATAAATCGATAAATCGATAAATCGATAAATCGATAAATCGATAATAGATCGAGAGAGATTAATAAATCAATAAGTCAGTAGAAAGAGATCAATCGAAGAGAGAAAGAGGAGAGATAAGGGCGAGAGAGAGAATTGATCGATAAAATCGATAAATCAATAAATCAATGAATCGATGAATCGATAAACCAATAAATCGATAAATCGATAAATCGATAAATCGATAAATCGATAAATCGATAAATCGATAAATCGATAAATCGATAAATCGATAAATCGATAAATCGATAAATCGATAAATCGATAAATCGATAAATCGATAAATCGATAAATCGATAAATCGATAAATCGATAAATCGATAAATCGATAAATCGATAAATCGATAAATCGATAAATCGATAAATCGATAAATCAATAAATCAATAAATCAATAATAATATAATAAATTATTTATTGTCAAATCAATAGATCGAGAGAGAGAGATTAATAAATCAATAAATCGATAGAAAGAGAGAGAATCGAAGAGAAAGAGAAAGAGAGAGAAAGAGAGCGAGAGAGAAAGAGAAAGAAAGAGGATAGAGATAGAGAGAGAGAGAAAGAGAGACAGATTAATAAATCAATAAATAGAGAGAGAGAGAGAGAGAGAGAGAGAGAGAGAGAGATTAATAAATCGATAGAAAGAGAGAGAAAGAGAGAGAGAAAGAGATAGAGAGAGAGAGGGAGATCAATAAATCAATAAATCGATAAATCGATAACTCGATAAATCGATGAATCGATAAATCGATGAATCGATAAATCGATGAATTGATAAATCGATAAATCAATAAATCAATAAATCAATAAATCAATAAATCGATACATCGATAAATCGGCAAATCGATAAATCGATAAATCGATAAATCAATAAATCAATAAATCAATAAATCAATAAATCAATAAATCAAAAATCAATAAATCGATAAATCGATAAATCGATAAATCGATAAATCGATAAATCGATAAATCGATAAATCGATAAATCGATAAATCGATAAATCGATAAATCGATAAATCGATAAATCGATAAATCGATAAATCAATAAATCAATAAATCGACAAATCGACAAATCGACAAATCGATAAATCGATAAATCGATAAATCAATAAATCAAAAATCGATAAATCGATAAACCAATAAATCGATAAATCGATAAATCGATAAATCGATAAATCGATAAATCGATAAATCGATAAATCGATAAATCGATAAATCGATAAATCGATAAATCGATAAATCGATAAATCGATAAATCGATAAATCGATAAATCGATAAATCGATAAATCAATAAATCAATAATAATATAATAAATTATTTATTGTCAAATCAATAGATCGAGAGAGAGATTAATAAATCAATAAATCGATAGAAAGAGAGAGAATCGAAGAGAAAGAGAAAGAGAGAGAAAGAGAGCGAGAGAGAAAGAGAAAGAAAGAGGATAGAGATAGAGAGAGAGAGAAAGAGAGACAGATTAATAAATCAATAAATAGAGAGAGAGAGAGAGAGAGAGAGAGAGAGAGAGAGAGAGAGAGAGAGAGAGAGAGAGAGAGAGAGAGAGAGAGAGAAATAGATGAAGAGATAGATCATTGAATCGATAAAAGCGAGAGAGAGAGAGAGAGAGATAGAGAGAGAGAGAGAGAGAGAGAGAGAGAGAGAGAGAGAGAGAGAGAGAGAGAGAGAGAGAGAGAGAGAGAGAGAGAGAGAGAGAGAGAGAGAGAGAGAGAGAGAGAGAGAGAGAGAGAGAGAGAGAGAGAGAGAGAGAGAGAGAGAGAGAGAGAGAGAGAGAGAGAGAGAGAGAGAGAGAGAGAGATTAATAAATCGATAGAAAGAGAGAGAAAGAGAGAGAGAAAGAGATAGAGAGAGAGAGGGAGATCAATAAATCAATAAATCGATAAATCGATAAATCGATGAATCGATAAATCGATGAATCGATAAATCGATGAATCGATAAATCGACAAATCGGTAAATCGATAAATCAATAAATCGATAAATCGATAAATCGATAAATCGATAAATCAATAAATCAATAAATTATTTATTGTCAAATCAATAAATCGAGAGAGAGAGATTACCTACAACATAAAACATATTCTTTAAAATTTCTACAGAACCATTTTCTAAACATGCCTCCTCCTACTCAGCTCCTACTCTACGATTAGAATTGAATTGTGGCGATGGCAAAATCCAATCAAACTCCGGATAAATCCGAAATCCCAGAATTTTTTCTGTGGGATTTACCGATCTGTACGAGCGCAGTATAATATTTGAATAAATTTAATATCCCACCTGGATCGCGAGGCAAAATTGTACGAACTCGCGGCCAAGTTTTTTTTTATTATTTTTTTTTCACCTTAAGATTCTAGGGATGGTAAATTTTAATTTTAAGAAATTATTCCGACGATTGTATTTTTCTAAAATATATGGAATTATTAGAGTTTTAGAGACGAAGGATTTTTTTATTTATTTAACTATAACAAACATCACCCTTGCAGTGTATAGTAGCAGATATAATACGCTGAATTCTGCGATCTTAGAATAACTAGTTTTTAACTCGTCCAATTGTTTTTGATAGTATTTCTATCATCCAAGTCGTAGGTATTATATCTCTCGATAACAGTGACTTTTAGTGCAGCTAAGCTGAAAATACGACATTTTAATGACAGGCTGTATCTTAGTTCCTAATTTATAGAGACATTTTAGAGTTTATTTCTGATAGTTTTATAGTTAATTCTCTTCAGCAAATAGATATTTTATAGATATTAAATAATAGAAGAAATAGACAAAAAAAATATTTTCTTCCAAACTAGCAATAACAAATGTACAGTATGTCCCCGGATTGTCTTTACAAGAGGAAAAACTTATATAATAAAAAGTTTTTCCTCATTTTTTCCTCTTGTAAAGACAAACCGGTGACACGATATTTTGAGAGCCGGTATGTTCTATCCAGTTTCTAGGTAAATACGTTGTTTTCGAAAACAGTATTTTCTGGCAATCGTTCCGCTGTGTGCAGCTTTTGAGCCAGAAGGCTTTATCGATTGGCCAGTATTGTCGTTTTTGATGATTTTTGCCTTTTCCTCTTTTGTCTATCTATAAGTTTATTTGAACTTACACGTTGGACATATTTTTATTAATGGTCCATTAAAATAGCTTTTAAAATTATTTGTTAAATCCTTTTATTTTCTGTTATCTATATTTGTAGAGTGTGATGCCTTATCTTCATTTACAAAAAAAATTAAACGTTGATGATATACAGTAACAGCAATATCAACAAATGACATGTAGAATGTAGAATGTAGAATTAGTAAGGGGGGGGGGGTGCACTGCGACCTTAAAGATCTATTGTGCCCCTCTTCCTTAAGTCATCACACAGTCGATAACCCATCATACCCCTGTTGTAGAGGGTACAGGGTATTTCCTCCGAGGGTACACACCCTTCCGGTTGGAGTTTGGCCCTCCATGCCGCCCTTCACAGTCGATGAGCTTGCCTCCGGCTGAGGAACCCGTGAGGTGGAGGCTGGAGGATCTGTCTCCATTTTCTCCACCTCTTTAACTTGGTCTCTCCATAGACCTGATACCGGTATTATCCCGTATCTATAATAGAGGATATGTCCCTCTTTCTCTATTGCCTCCTTGGATTTGAGGTCAATTCCTATTGTGAGGACCTGACCATGACCCTGTTCCCTCGAGTTAATGACTCGCCAACTCGATGTCCTTACATTGAAGTTCTGACCCTGGATAAGGCTTAGCACGTAGGTGGTGTTTTTTTCCCCTTGCTCCTCGACAGAAAGACCATGATGGCCGCCCTTTAGGGATGTTTTCTCCCTTCACTGCAACCAGTTCCGGCCCCTGCCAATTTTTAAGCTTAGGTGCGATTTCTAAACCAAACCAACCAATTCGCCGATTCTTGAGATACACAATCTATGAGGATCATGCCCACCCGAAAGCGTATCCCCGCAAAACACAGCTTACCCACATTTTGTAGACCGTTGTGTTGCGATCCGATCGTCATGACATGGTCATGACTACTTCGTCCAGTATAGCCTCTTCTAGAGACGTTTGATGGTCGGTGGTCAGAGCAACCTTTGGGAAACCCTTTGGCAGCACCGCCATTTTCACTTGTCCAGCAATAGCGGCAAAGCTGGTGATACGTCCCTGTTTGCCTCCCTGTGTTGGATGGATTTTCATTCTGGCTTTTTTCTTTCCCTGCCGGAGAAGAGGTGAGAGGTTCTCGCTCCCTCTCTTGCCCTTTTATGGAGATCAGGTTGTTTCTTGGTTTCTTACTCTCCCCTTTTTGGAGGAGTGTTTTCGCTTTTGCTTCCTCTGGAGCAAGTCCTTCGTGGCCCAGTCGGAGGTATCTCAGAGGAGGTTGACCCAGGCCGGGTAGACGAAACGGTAGCTTGTGTCGTTTATTGGGTCTAGAGGTAGGCTCCCGACCTTCGCTGGAGAAGGTAGTAGCACAGAATATCTAGCTACGCACGCACAGAATATCTAGCTATCTTGCGTAGCTAGATATTCTGTGGTGGTAGCTTGTGTGCCACTTGTGGAGGATGATCCCAACCAAGTGTCAGCCGCCCCTCTTGTTGTTTTTATTGGATTTGATCCCTTGGAACTTTCATTTGTAATGTTCCCAGTGTCGCTAGGGGGCTTGCCCACAGCTTCACCGGTGGTGTTTTTAATGCTAGATCTCATAGTGTTCCCACGAGTCGCTAGGGATAGTCGGTCAACTTCTACAGAGCTCCGCATGTAGAAGTAAGGGGTAAATACAATGGGGTGCCCCCTGATGCCCCAAGGTTGAGGCCAGTAATGGCTAGTGTCCTCTATCTAGCCACGCATACTTTTGACTTGGTCCCGCCATCGTAGGATTTAGGTTTTTGGTGACGTTGTCTCCTCTTGGTCGAGGCGGTTAAGCCAAGACCCCCAATACCCTCTACCCGCGAGACATGACCACAGTCAGATCATCCACTTAAATTTGGTCCACTATTTTTTTTTCCACTTCGTATATTAAGTTTAGTTTAAACCGCGGAGTTCGTGTTCCGGAATAATCGAGATCCCGGAGCGGTCCGGATTCAAATTCGAGCCACGAAGTTTATTAATATCTCCGGAGTTCGCGGTTAAGATGGTGAGGTCCCTAAGGCATTTTAAAAATTCGAATAGGACAAATACCGATTCCATCAACTTACAGACTTTTATTCCCACTATTTTTTATTTTATTTTTTTTTCGTCCAAAGCGTCGATAAAGTCGCTTTTTTTTTCTTTTTCATTTTTAGGGTTCCGTACCCAAAGGATAAAAACGAGGACCCTATTACTAAGATTTCGCTGTCCGTCCGTCCGTCCGTCTGTCACAAAGATCTATCTTATGAACCGTGATAGCTAGACAAGTGAAAATTTTACAGATAATGTATCTATGTTGCTGCTATAAGAACAAATACTAAAAACAGAATTAAATAAACGTTTATAAATAAAAAAGTACTTTCACTAAACATTATCTTTTAAGTAAGAATTTTACATAGAATCTTTCAAGTCCTCGGTGGCCGCGTGGTTAAAGCTAAAAATATGACGTTGGAGCCGTATTAAGGCAGGTTCGAATCCTAGTCAAGGCGACTTTTTTTTAATTGTTTTTTTTAATTTTTACATATTTATTTTTACTTTTTACATTTTTATTATTGATTAATACAACTTTTAGTAATGTGTTTCTTAATTTTTTTTAAATTACTTATACGCGCATTCAAAATTTCAGCTAAATCGGAAAAAAAAGTTTATAATAATATAGTATCTAATGTTATTGTATAGATAATGAATGGTTGGAACCCTTCGTACGCGAGTCCGACTCGCAATTGATCAATTTTTTCACATTCCAAGATTATCTAAAAGTGTCCATTTTATGAAAAATTGTTTGAAATGCGAATGCTTCTGAACCCTATATAGACAAATAATAGAAATAGGTCTTGATCCTAGGAGTCCCGTCCCAAATAACCCGTGGGGCTCCCCTCGGAGGGCGCAATCGCGGGCCCCGCGACCTGCGGTGCCGGCGTCCCGACGCCTTCCAGTCTGCCGTCGGACGCGTCAAGGTCGCAGTCGCCGTGCCCAAAGTCCGTTCCACACGAGCGCGCGTCCCGTCCGACGTCTTTCGCGGTCCGGTGTTTATTGTGCCAAGCGCGCCGTTTTTTTTTATATAAATAAATCAACGGGAAAAAATGTAAAAAAATTATTACGACCGGTATACAGTGGTTGTGGTAGATTTATGGTGGTTTGAGAGTGGCGCGATGACGATTAAGTTGATGGTGATGATGGTATTGGTAGGATGGTCTGGTTTGGATATTCAAATGGTCTAGGAATTCAAATGTAATTTATAGATTTAAATAAATTTATTTTTTAATCATTGCAGTATGTCCCCGGATTGTCTTTACAAGAGGAAAAACTTTTTTGTATTAGCATTTTGAGAAAAAATAATTTTTTATAAGACACTTTTATTTGCTGTGGAACTGTTAATACCGGATTTGATTTTCATGACATAGAGAAACGTTTAACGTATATTTTCATATTTTCTGTTTTTCTCTAAAACGGGACGAAAATTTGGAAAAGTATAAACAAATTTTTTTAGATCAAGTTTTAGATCAAGCAATTTTTTTAAAGAGAATGCATTTTTCTCCCAAATGTTAAAAATAAAAAATAATTTCTTCTCTAAAAACAATTCGGGGACATACTGTATATTAACAACAACCGTATGTGAGAATTTGGACTTGTAGTGCGTTTATACATTTTGTCCCAGCAACGTATCGAACAAAACGTATCAACAAAGTTTCACATAATAGTTATAAGGGAGATTGAAAACAGTCTATATCTGGTGTTTCTCAAAAGTGGCTCACCCCTATAACTTTTTTATTTTTCCAAATAAAAAAAACGAGATTTGGTATGTTAAATTATGACATAAATTAGGATTGATTGACGTATTCAATATAGTTTTCGGTCATTTCCTGTTTCACCGGAAATTACTACAACTTTTGGTTTGTAAATGACACTCTTGGTATTTTTTACTTTATTTGATAGAAAAGACAATCCGAATAAAATGACATGTCATGTGTCAACATTTGATGTTTTCGCTTAAAAAAATCGTATTTTAAATTTCAATCTAGAGAGCCACAGCTGTGTTAAAAACACCAATTTTTAATCAAGGAGCCTTGGAAAAATAGATTTAATACTCTAATGTTTTTTGTGTCTTGTCCTGGCAGTTTATGTCCAATTCTATTAAAAGTCATTCTATTTAAAGTTTCATTTTCTATCGAATAAAGTAAAAAAATACCGAGGGTTTCATTCAAAAATCAAAAGTTGTAGTCATTTCCGGTGAAATAGAAAGTGACCGAAAACAACTGAATACGTCAATCAAACCTACCAAGTCAAATTATAGGGATGAGCTACTTTTGAAAAACACCCGGTATAATTGATAAGCACTGTCTAATCACCCCAAAACAACATGGCTGTTTTAAAAGTCCAAAAATAGTTTAATTCAAAAATTTATAACAAACAACAACAGATAAAAAAATGTTTTATTTTACAAAAGTCGTATGGAAAAATTGAATAAATCAACGAGGGGTCCGTTTTGTTTTCTATAAAAGCATTGCCGATTTTCAATGATTGATTTAAAACCGAAAAGCATTGTTTACCAATGCGTTATTGTACAAGCCAACAATGCTAATGGCTGTTTGCTTCGGTAATTCCGATATAGTTTATTCGCTTTGGACTTAGTTATATTTGGAATTTTACATAAATTTTGAGGCCCAAATGTTGCAAACTGGATTATAATGAATGTGGGTAGATAATTACCGATATATTAATGTAAAATACGACGATAGTCAATGAATTTATTTATACAAAATATAGTTTTCTATATACCTATATTATAATTACGTAGAATTGTTGATTTTCTGAAATTTAGTAATATTTAACTAAATATAACCAAATTAACCAACCTCTTTATATTATAATTAAAACAAAATACTAATACCTCTGTTCCTGATGAACTCATGATTTGGTTCTTGGACCACGCGTGGTCTGTATTAATAAATGACTTCATTGTTTCACCTCTTTGCATTATCTTTTTTATGTTACTTAAGTCGTACATTTAGCAGACGTTTTGTCCTCTTATAAAAAACATTTCTTGTACATATAAACTAGCACGCGATCAAAGAACATTATAAAGAAAACGCAAAAGTATAATCTTATAAAGTAAAGTACACTTTTTAAAAAGGAGATCATGTCTAAGGACAGAAGTAATTCTCTATTGTAAAATAAAAATTTCGTTCTTTATTTAAAAGAACGACAATGGAGATTACTTGCCAGTCTATTCTTCCATCCGCTTCTTTCTTTGCTTCATTTAATTTATTTTTACTGACGGACTCTCTTTGTGTTACGATAACTTTAAATAGCTAAAACTTTAACTCAAAATCGATAGTGCACCTCAGTAGAGTATCGGAAAAGTCAAAACTTTTAATTAGAAACGCTGAAGAAATTTGCTTTTGCTTTGAGTAAAAGAACATGTTTACTTTGAGTATTTCTTCTACAGAATTCCATTTAAATTGCTTAAAACCCCAATATACAGGGTGACAATTTGAAAACGAACAGTATTTAATATTACCTCTACCGATGATAGTATAAAAATTTGGAGAAATACGTCAATTTACATATCAAGGGGGACAATTTTTGAGGCATTTGTTGTCGTGTTACTTTCAACCCTTTTACCCCCAGGGCACCTACCACTAAAATTTTAAATGGCAAGCCCTACTTCTTTTACCATTTTTGAGTTCCTTATAAAATTCTCCAAAAAATAATGCAGTTTATGTAGAATTCTATAAGAAACACAAAAATGGTAAAAGAAATAGGGGTTGCTATTTAAAATTTTAGGGGTAGGTGCCCTGGGGTCAAGGGGCTGAAAGTAACACCATAACAAATGCCTCAAAAATTGTCCCCCTTGATATGTAAATTGACGTGTTTCGCGAAATTTTCATGCTATCATCGGTAGAGGCAATATTAAATACTGTTCGTTTTCAAATTGTCACCCTGTATAGTAAGCTTTTTCTCAGTTAATCAATAATTTAAATAATCAAAATACAACTTCTGGACTTAAAAAACAATCTCTGCTAGAGTAACTGCCCAACAGCCAACAGACAATAATAATATGATGTGTGCCATTCTGTGTATTTATTAAATTTTTGAATATCGACCTCGTAAAACTTTTACTGAAATTCAGCAACATAAATCTGATTCAGCAATTACAATGTCAACTTTGGCCCAAATTAAATTAGTGTCCCTTTTGAAACCCTCTACAGCCATTTATTATTATAAGGCTGCTTTATTCAAACAAAATTTGTCACTGGTTTATCGAAAATATGTAAAACAACTGGAATTCAAACATTTCCTTTAATCTGCTTTATTGGGAACAGTATAAATATCAAACTGGCATTAGTGCTAATTTAATCTATGTAATAAAAGTTATAAATAAACTATGTTAATTCGTGTTTACTCTTGCTACTTGCTATATTGTATTCATACAAAAACCGCACGTAGTGGAAACAAAGGGTCTAGTGTTAATTTTTATAATCTGAATGGAAAGGTTTTTTATACTTATCGTAAAAGAAAATTGTAATAGTTAGAGTGAAAATTCGTACAAGATTTTTCAATTTTCTTTTTTAATCTGTAAAATGAAGCGATCGCAAGGTTTCAGTAATTTATATAAACATATACCTTGCAAATAACATTAAATGAATTTCTCAGTCTTCACAATCTCAAAATATATGATACACATTTTCTTTCAACGATAATTCCGTGTTTTAAATTTTGCTTTTAAACAACTTTTAATTAAAAACGTACATTTTTTTGTTTTATTTAGTAACATTTTAGTGAAGCGTATGGTATTTAATTTATCTATGAATTATCAAAAGCCAATCTAAAATACTTTTCAAATATAAACAAAATAAACCAATTCAACAATCTGTACCAATCGGTATTAATATTGAAAGCCTATTTTAAATAATGCCAAAAAAAACGGGAGAATGCAAAAAAAAATTCAATTTAGTAGTGATTTACATAGAAATACAGAATTTTGTTTCAACTATTTCTACAGTGGTTAGTTCTACTAGTTTCAAAACTATTACCTGAACAAACTCAATTTCAGATTGCAATTTTGAAACAATAGGCAAAAAATATAGTGAAAGCGTTCAATTATGGCATTTTAAATCTCCAATTCATCCATTTTTACTTTTGTGAGTAAATAAATATTTTTTATTATTAAAACATTTTTCAAATTGAACTATTTGTAACAATATATTAATATTTTATTATAAAGACAAATTCTTGTATTTTAAATATAATATTTAATTATAAATAAAGTGAAATTATATGTAATTGAGTTAATATATCAATAATTTATTATAAGGACAAACGATTTTTCTCAAGGATTTACCGTTTTTTACAGATATAAATCCGAACAAACGACATTATACAGTTGACTTTAGCTTATTCCGTCGTATTCTCTGCGCTTCCCTGGCATTTTAACAATGCAAATGCGATTTTTCTGTGGAAAAGTCAGGAAAAGGCACAAAAAGACAAAGCGCATGAGAGTGGAATTTTATTTGTGCCGGATTTATTACTCAGCCCTGTAATCCGCCCCAAACTAAATAAGGCGAAATTTATGCCAAGTTTTTCCAATTTCATTTTTTTCAACTCAGTTTTCTTTTTTTTTAGTTAGGATATTTTATTCTTTTTACGTGTTTAAAATATTACGTGTAAAAAAATATTTGTTACACGTAAAAAACTACTTTTTACGCGTATAAAACTATTTGTTACTGGTAGAAAGCTATTTTTTACGCGTATAAAACTATTTGTTACTGGTAGAAAACTATTTTTTACGCGTATAAAACTATTTGTTACTGGTAGAAAACTATTTTTTACGCGTATAAAACTATTTGTTCCGTGTAAAAATCTATTTGTTACACGTAAAAAACTATATTTTACGCGTCAAAAACTTACTGTTTTTAGTAAAAAACCTTTTGTTATGCCAAAAAAAATATTTTTTACGTGTAAAAAACTATTTGTTACACGTAAAAAAATACTTTTTTCCGCGTCAAAAACATATTGTTTCTATTACAGTTGAGGGTTGGAACCTTTGGTGTTAAACAGCAAAATAAAGACACTAAATCACCACAATACACCAAAACACTTTTACTTTTACACTGGACGCGCGTTTCGCTAACCATGTTAGCATCATCAACAGATGATTATAAACTGGTTAATAATAAGTTTATAATCATCTGCTGATGATGCTAACATGGTTAGCGAAACGCGCGTCC